CCTCCCCCCTTATTTACACACATTTTAAAATCGACAGTTCACCGAAGGCTGACTATCGAGGTACTTGAGTACGATTAACTATGGGTTAATATTAAAATGGCTAAATACGTTTTAAATTATGGTATATACTTTTCGGGAAAAAGTAGCGCCTATAATTAAGAACAGTAATTGCTGTTTGTGCATAGATCTCTCGCTTGCTCTTCTCTCTCTCTCTGAAAAAAAATATCCATGTATATGGAGTATTCCTTTTAATATTAAGACTTCTTAACATGAATTCAAATTTAAGCATTTGTAAATTGCTAATAAAACAAATATGCAGCATCCTTAATTTAGTCATGCATAGACATCGGTTTAATCGCTGTTCCAGAGCTAGCAATGTGCATGTCCAATACCCCGTATATCAACATTAAATTAAATACTTAAACAAAATTATGAATAAATTTATTTACTAAACTGTAATAATATCATATACCTATTAAAAAAATGTCCGCATCAACTTTCAAATTTTTTTACGCTTTGAAATTCAATTTAATTTCTTGTTTACAAAATGCAGTCAACAAAAATTACTTCCGTGTTTACAATACCGCGACTTTGACGTTGTTTTCTGAGCATTGTGACGTCAAAAGATAAGGGCCCTTTTCTCATGACGGCAGTCAATTCATTTACTGTTCCAAACTGACTAGCAGCTCAGTTATAATTAGTTTTAATAGCTTCTCGCAAGAAACGTGACCCATATAATTAGCTGGCTTGTCAATTAGTAAACAAACAATAAGGGCTTGGACCTATTACCGGTATCTTGCGCTTTTCCTCTGATCCCGCTATTCTACCCTCTACTATATAAGCATTAAGAAATAATCCTACTATACAAGACAAAAACTTTGTATTAAATTTACGCTGTTTTATTTTCCGCGATTCAGAACTCGTCACGAACAAAGCGGAAATTGGATACACGCGGAAAAATCCTGATATACGGTACTTCATCATGAAGAGTTTTAAAAAGCATTTCTTTTTCCTTGATATATCAACTACTGGTAAAATGTAACCCCATAAATTGCTCAGTTTTTATACATATCAGTAGTAAACACAGTTAACCAAGAACACTTATTCCATCCTTCATCTAAGATAACCAATTGCAGTACCCTTTTGAATACAAAATTGCCTTTACAATGGGAATGAATAAAGTGATAACAATTTAGAAATTGGTAAATCGTGACAAAATTTCTGAATATAAAAAGCTTCTCTTTGCATTTTTGATGACAAAGTGACACTAACAATAAAGATAAGACTTCGAAAAGGGATCAAAAATCAATTTACCAGGGCCATTATCTATACAGTTGAATCTAGTTTTCATGTCGATTTGCAGAAATTCAAGCTTAAGTGTTGGGATATGAAACCATGAAATATTTAGGAATCTTAAAAGTCCAAAAAAGGTTTTACAGTGGCAAAACATTCATGATCTGTAAAGACATACACATAACTAGGGCAAAACCTTTATGTCTATATAGAAATTGCAAAACTATAGATTTCTTTCAGTTGATATTAAAACACTGACCCATAGTTTCTAAGTGATTCTTGTCTCAATTGCATACAGGGGATGGTTTTGCAAAATACTAACAATTTATAAGTTCTTAGGCAGTTTTACTGGAAAAAAATATGGTTTGATGGGAATGGAACCTGTGATCCCTCTCATACAAAATTTCTATATATCTGGGCAGGTGCAATCCAGGCAGATATCCATAGAGCCAAACCCACTATATTCCTCTCTCCTTAAATTGTGTTCATCCAGAAAGGAAAAAAAATTAAGGAGGCTGGGGGGTCAACAAATTAACCACAAATTAACCACCAGATTTAACTTATTTTTTTCGATACGGTATCTTCAGCTGTCAACTATTATTTGGCAAAGAAAAAATTCATACATTTTAGTTTTAAAATTTGATCATTTTTGTATATCTTTATATGGAGCTCTTCTTTTAAAGGAGATCGAAAAAGTCTGAAATAGGCTGCAACCCCCCAGCCTCTTTAAGGCTTGACCAGGAATAAATCCCATGATCCATGCCATTTAATCAGGTGCTCTAATGACTGAAGCCTAGCCATCAGTGATCAAACATTACTCCTGCCTTAATTAAGTGCTTTCTTCCCTAAAAACATTAAAAACAAGGTCTTTTACCGAGAAGGAGAAAATGACAGTAACCAGACCAGGATTTGAACTCATCCCCTCCTGAACTGTAGAGAGATGCCTTTCCATAAATCTAAGCTTCTAACTTCTAAACTTAAGTGTATTTGTCTCCAATGCCACCAACCCAGACTCTTTTGACCACCATCATCATGGAGTAACCAGCATTATGAAAGTCAAAGAATGCAGTGTCAAAGAATATTCAAAGTCCCAAATGGTACGCTGGATTTTTTGTCTGGAAGTACCTTTGCTTTGCCACTGAACCATAAAGCTAAATGTGGTGATAATTTTTCAGTTACTCAAGACATTGCATGAGCAGATTTACAATGTTTTTTCTTCAAAATACACATATAGATAGAAAACGTGCAATTCCTCCCCAGTAAATTATTATGTAAATTAATTAAGGTCCCTTGGTGTTTAAGCTGACATTTTGCAGTGGACCAAATCTTTTTAATCTATGTTTAGGCTTGATTTCTATATACTGAAAAAAAATTTACAGACCTGAAATTAAGATTAGAAAGCTAGCTCAATGTAAGATTTTAAAAGAAATTATACTAATCTGCTGTAGAACCCTCATTATCATTTTGCTAAAGAAAACCATTCAGTTCCTTTTTGGAAGTTAAGAAAAATTATGATAACCAATCTAAGAAGAGTAGTGACAAAAATTTAAGATAAAAGAAAGAACACCACAGATTCCAAGGCTTTCATCCAAACACTTACGAGCAAGATCAGGTGTTAGATTCAAATCTTAGAGTTGACATGCCTATATGAATAGTATTCTTTGTATGTTGCATTACCTTACTTGAAACTTCAAAAAAGTTTGATCACTTAATTTACACCTCTTTCATAGCTGTAATCTCTCATAAACAGAAAAGTCACATTAGACTTAATCCACAGTCTTATCTATGGAAAAAAGGGTCTATTCATAGGATTAAGTAAAATATTGACAATACTAACACCTAACAAGTTAATATTGGGAAATTTTAAGGGAGTATTGTTAGAAAATCCATATCTGATTTTTTCCATTAATCATCAGTATAAAAGCAAATTCAAATTCAGAAAGGAAACTGAGTTGATGCAAAGCATAATATTAAAAACATCCATTAGGTATATTTTTTTTAATCATATATAATCAAATAAATTTTTTTTAAAGTTTACTTTTAATTTTAGAAAGAACTTTTAATTTTACTATTATCCTTTCATAGCATATAAACCTAAGGATAAAGTGATTTATGAATTTTTTTATGCTGCTCAGAATCTTACAGCTATGTAAACCTCTTTAGGATGAAGAGTTTATTTTTTTGCCCATGAACTGGAAAAAACATATTTAAAGTATTTCAAAGAAGCTAGTAAAATCATTACAGGAAAATGAGTAAACTTTAATATGGGAAAATTTTGCAAACCTTGGGATTGTTTTTCAAAACAGAGTGCACATCATGATACGTGTCCTATATGACCTTGATTCAGCAAGACACTTTGACATTGACCTTTGATCAAATTGTCAAAATGTGAAGTTTTAGTTATCTTGCATAGTTCAGAAGGTGTAACTTGGGTTATAAAGTGAAGAACATAGAGTCAGGGAGACAAACCCCCACACCCAAATAGTGTGCCCTCTCTATGCTCACTATCTTACATCTAGGGGGCAATCAAGTTTTTAAACTGTGCATGTCAATGTGCATCTGTACATCAAAACAAAGCAAATTAATACCAAACTGCGTCAAAACAATTCACAGGTTAAACAGTCCAACTTTTACAATAACTAATATTTTCAAGGCCAATGGTTTTGTCTTGATCAGATCATAGACAACTGATAATTAACGAGATAAACATCTCTATTTATTGATAACAATCAACTTGTAATGCAAACTTATGAATGTATTTGAAAAATATTAAATGATTTAAATGTCAGCTCTGAGGCTGTGGGAACGAAATGAACATATTCAAGGTTATTGTTATAAAGATAAGTCAGTTATTATGACGATATACTGGTATGTTTTTTTAAAAATTGTAATATTTAATTGTGTTGTTGTCGTAAACACTGATATAAAGATCACAAATATGGCAAGGGTGCGGGCATCTCAATATTTCTTGCATCCATTTTTTTTCTAAATGAGTATTTTGAACCTGGAATGTTTCACAACTTATAATTGATTAATTAATTACAACTTGTAATTAATATGTTTTAATTAAGTATCCCTCAACTCTGTGTAAATAAACAGTATCAAAACTCATTCCGGAATTTAAGGGGAAAAAATTGCAATAAATAATCAAGCAGTTTTGCACCTTTACAGTCACTTGAGGGGCATTTTAACACCCTCTTTACATATTCTCATATGTCATTTTTTACATCACATGCAAACTACAATTTCAGAATAAAAACATTGTTACAATCAATTATCAGGAATGTATTCTTTAACTATTTTATCAGCTAGATCTTTCCAGGTGCAAGTCTTATAAATTTTCCCCCCCAAAAAAACTTGTTTAAACATGTCTCCATACAGGGTACATTGAAGAAAGATCACTGCTCAAATTAATTGCAATTGTTTGCCGAAGCCGTTTATGCATAAAATTATCACACAAGCTAATTGATTGAACATTGTCATGAAATTGAAAAATAAGTTATTCCTTATATTTAGATGGTATTGAGTCCGCCAATCCATGTGCTAGAAGCCCTGCTTCTGTCTCTATTTGTCCCACCCTGCACGTGTTTTTTTTAACCGCGCCTATCCATGAACCAGTACTTTGATAGAGAAATGAAGTACATTGACTAACTGTAATTTTATCTCGAACAAAGACATTGGAAATCTAAATATTTGATTGTACTCACCTCAACAGCATCCTGCATGTCAAACTGTGGCATGGAGGCAGGGGTAGCATGCCCCTCAGGTACCTCTCGGATTTTGTTGGTTTCTATGGCTCTGATCATATTGTCTTCAAAGTATTCCTGTGAAATTTCAAAAATACATTAGCTTTTAATATGAACAATGCATTATCTCACATGTATGACTTTGTGTCCGAACTGCACTTATTATTTCCTTAGGGTATCTATGTTTTATTAATTTTTTCAATATTTTATCAAGCAATTGACAGATTCAATTACCAAGTAGTGTGAACGTACAAAGGAAAAGAAAATGAGTAACTCATTACAAATTTTGTATTAAATAGCCAATACCGTATAAGTGGAAATTTTAGTGAGACGCAAATTTAGCGATTTGTCCTTAAAAAGTGGTATTGTATTTTTTGCGAGATGTAACATTATGTAGCATAAGATATTATCGATTTTTAAATGCTCACGAAAGTAGCTATTACATATAAAATGCAATTAATTTTTAGCGATATTCAATTTTAGCCATCTCAGCACCCTCGCTAATAATGCCAAAATTGAATTCTCGCTAAAAATTCTGCTTATACGGTATATTGACTGATTAGTAGCTGCCATCTGTCATGTGTGGTACTTATTTTTGTATTTCTTTTGAAATCACATTCAACTAAACATCCTAAAACTCCCAGTAATCTGAGTAGATAGACACAAACCTGTTGTTTCTTCATGGCGTAATGAACAGCACTCTTCACTAGTAAGTCTGTCAGGACTTCTTCCTGGGCCTTTTTGTCCAGACTGCCATAGGTTACCTCCCTTTGAACTCCATCTTTGGTACTGATGACTTTAATGGAGGCCCCTTGACTTGGTGGCAATCCATGATAAATATCAACATCCTGGGTCACTGTTACGGAAAGAATTGAAAATAATGATCAATGAAGATTTTGTTTGTTCAGGTAGTAATAAAGAAGGTAAATAATCTCAAATGAGGAAGGACACTTTAAAAATTTCTCTTTACACGATAAGTTTCTTTTCTATATATATTGACTATATATTTATAAAGTTAAACACTGTTATAATGAACCCCCTTATAATTAATTAACATTTAAGCAAAGTGATTTTGCTTTACACTAAATTGTGAATTTAACATGTATTATGAGTTATGTTTATAACAAAGCTAATTGTCTGTCCCTGGCAATTTAATAGTAGCATGTTGTACTTTAAAGAGCTAACAGCAATTTTTTTTTTCAAATCCTTAGAAAAATAAATTACAAGTCCATGTAATATTTAAGGCTTGAACCATTATGAGAATTCTAATACTCACCACACGTTTCTGCTGATTCCGGTCGGATCCTGTAGAACGTGTATCCAGACAGGCTTCCAGGAGACATGAGCATACTCCTCATCAGTTTATAAGGGGTAGGGTAATGTGACATGTCGTCATTCAGTCGACGCTGGAGGTGGGGCATCAGTGGGTTGTAGTAAAATAGAGACTTCTCCGTCAAATATCCTACAATAGATAAATGAATAGAAAGAGCCATGGAATAAATGCCCTTTATGAATTCAAAAGTCTCTTGACACATTTTGAAATGCCTTCAAATAATTAAAGATAACATTTTCCCTTCTAGACTTTCAAGATCTTTGTGGTACACATGATAATGCTTACCTTTGCTGATAACCTTTTCTAAGACGGTGTCATCCCAGCATTTGGTCCAGGAGGACAAATAACGTTTTGCTGAAAATCCTGGACGGATTTGTCTATCAAAATAGTCCCTCTTTCTTCTGCCATGAACAAACTTGAGGTACATGCCATCATCTCTGTCTGAATCCTGTATAAAGCAACAACATTACTTTTAACTTATACATGTATTAGTAAAGAAAAACATGGCCCAATGACAATAATAAAGTATCCGTGCAAAACTAGTTAAGCTTCAAAGTTAATATTAAGATCTTTGCTTTCAGTATATGTTATTCAATTCACATAAAATATCCTAAATTTTATTCATCAATGTGCAAAATTTGCTACTTTAATTAAATTTTTATTTATAAGATTACCTGAGCACCAAAGGAAAGAATAGATTTAGCCAAATCATCAACAGTTCTCAAATCAATTTCATCAGCACTCTTTGACAGATGGGATTCTCTGTCATCCATGCTCATGTGACTTTTGCGGACATGGTGGTGTGTTTGTCTAGTTCTGTGTGCCATGTCCTCAGAAAACAGTAGCAGAGCCCCTTTTCTGGTGGTGAATGTCTTTGGCATGCTAATCTCTTGGACAGACTTTTTAGATGCCCGTGAAAATGAATATGTTGGTTCGTCATAATGGTAAGATGTCTGTATGGGTGGAAGGTAGACCCTGCTGGAGTCATTCACAAAATTGTAGTAGTCCTACAAGTTAATAAAAATAAAAGCATTAATACTGTTAATTGATATTAAATTACATGTATTTACCCATTCTTATTTGATACGAATGCAGAAATATAGAACTTCACAAGCTAGTGATTCTATAAAATATAATGTTGTATTTAGTATAAAGTTAGTAAATATTTTGATTATATATGTATTGTAGGACTCCAAAGTGCGATGGGACTCCAAAGTCCGATGGTCACGCCAAAGTCCAATGGTCTGCGCCAAATCCCGATGGTTTGACATGCCAAAGTCCGACGGTGATGAAAACAATTAAGGTTTATAACGTCATAGTACTACTGCGCAAAAATGCGATGCCGCACCATGCCAAGGCCCGATTGTTTAAAATAAATACAAACAAATATTAAATGCAAAGACTAACCCTAATCTTTTGGATATAGGTGCGAGACTTACACTTATCAGTCGAAAAATGTGTAACGACTATAATCTAGATATCTTGGATGGGTGCAAGACTAACCCAAATCAGTCCAAAAGTGTGCGAGGACTAACCATAAAATCTTTCGGGTGAGTTCAAAGAAACACATTGGTGTTCAAGAACTAAGCCTTATCAGTCGAATGGTGTACAAGGACAACCCTAATAGCTCTGGTGGGCGAATACAATAAGTAAAATCAGTAAAATTTTATGCAAGACAAAAACTAAATCGATGGATCTTGAATGCAGGACAACGTCATGACGTCGGAATATTGTTACGTCACAAATGTCGATTGTTCCTTCGCACCATCAGACTTTGGCGTATCAGACCATCGCACTTTAGCGCAATGTGTCTCATAGGAAACGAGCCATCGGACATTGGCGTGACCATCGGACTTTGGCGTCCGTAATACTTTGGAGTCTTACATATACAATGTACATATTTAGACTAGTGACATGTAAAATACAAAAATACAATGTAAAAACGATAGAATCTGATTTACATACATATTGCACAGCAGACCTTAAGATGCCACTTTAGCATACTGTATATGACATAATAATTTTCTTAATATGGAAATTTTTTTCTAGGATAAAAAAATTATTCTAAGGCCATAATAAAAATATTCCTAGATTCTCATCCCCGCCCGCCCCGATTTTATACCCCCGCCTCGATTTTTTTATTTTTGTTTTTCTACGGTTTAATTCTGATCGGGATCGGTATTCATCTACCATTCTACTTTCGTTTTAAAACCCCGCGAAAGTCGTCATGATTTTTGACAGCTGAAAAGGTGGTGATTGCTGTTATACATGCGTATATATTGTAAACAAGGGTCATTGGTTGAAAAAGATTGGTGATAATGTGAAGTAAGCGATAACTGAACCTTTAATATGACTTTTATTCAGGTATTGTAGAAAAAATTACACCGGTTGACAAGGTCAATAAAAAATCTGCAAAATTGAAAAAATAAAAAATATAAAATAAAAGCCGCCCGCCCGCCTCGATTTTTAAATAAAAACGGATGAGAATCTAGCAATTTATTTATTATGGCCTAAAGAAATTCATTTGAACTGAACATGTTGAATAAGATGTGCAGACTATCAGTCATCATCAATTCATAAACTAAATTAATTTTCATACATTTTTTAAAAAAAATTGGGAGGAGTACTAATACAACAAATTTAACATGATTGTACTCAGGTAGTCTTTCTTTCTTTTGTTTTTATGAGCATAATAATTCATGTGTATATACATGAATCTCTTCCCATGCAAATCTCACACTAGTATTAGCACAACAAAACTCACATACATAGTTTATGTACATGTACTTCAAGTTTTTTTCTTCAATGTAAAATTCCAGATTCAATTAAATTTTATCAAATAATTAATATGTACCAGTCCTATCAGGAAGTTTTTAATAAAATAAATTTGATATCGACCGTCTACTTGAAGCTTTCAATTCTCTGCTATCAATCATCTTTTGTTTAAACTAGATCTGTATCACATCGATAAAAATCTTGATGCCGTGCTTAACCACCATTAATGAGCTGCATGGTATACATTTTTCATTAGTTCTTTATTGAAGCTTAGCACAACAATGCATTTAAATCGAGTTCTCTCTCTAGGGTTTAATTTCCCCATTTCTAATTCATGACCTTATGTTTCCAATCAAACCAAGTGGAACTAATCACACTAACCTATTCTTTTTAAATCATATATTCAGTCAGATTTACTTAACAGTCAATTAATTGTTACATATCTATGTAAAGATGTTTAGTTACTAAAAACTAAAAAGGAAGCATCTAGAAAAAGTGAAGATTTTTTTTACTACTGTCATATTTTAAGAGTTTTGAGTCTGACATTTGATTAAATGTTTGAAATTATATTAAGAAATGGGGGCAGGGGTCTAATTTTTCAAATCTAAATTATGAAACAGAAAGTTACATCTTTCAAACGGCAGGCACATACGAATCTACATTCATTTGGTGTAATAATGACAATTTTCAAATTTTAATATCGAATGTCAACTCGTGAACAATTAACACTATTATAAACAAATTTTCAGTAGTACAAAAGTGTAAATACCTGAGGTTCAAATACAACATCAATTTTTTCATGTCCATTTTTAGTTATTTCGCCTACTCCTCGGCTAAGCAGCGAGAGATTGAGAGCGCTGCCCCCTCCAACCATCATTGAAATCTTTTCAGCAAACAAACAGGTGCCCGTTGGTTTAAAATAACACCTAAGTCGGCTAATTAACTTAGAAAAAGTTACATTCTTATTCACACAGTGGACTCAAGTAATATTAATCCTTTTGAAATTTAGTTAATTACGCTTCTACATGTTTTTATGGTAGAAAAACGTGTTGTCTTAATGGTTTCACAGATTTTTCTGCTAATCCGACTTCCATGTTGTTTATCGTTGCTGTGCGTCTCTGACGTCACATCCTGTGAAGATAGCGCGCATTTGCGAAGCAGTTTTTTTTTTAAAAAAACCTCATGGGTAGTGAAAATGGGTCGCAATATTCTTATAAATGGTTAAGATAACTGATTATGGCGAAATAAAATAAACGAGAAGAATTCCACATCGAAATATATCCACAAATAATGCCCTATGTTTAAAATTAAGAAAATGACTATTTTTCCGCAGTTCTTGTTTTCAGCACCCTAATTGTTGTTTTTGAGCTCAACATGGTTAATACATAGGCGCCTATGGGTCAATACGGTGATATAGCCACCTGAGGAGTATAATATTCATCAACCTTGAAGGGCGAGAACATATCCGGAGCACAGGCACCTGTGATCCGGAGCATAAATAATAATGTCTTCAAAGATCTAATTTTTATAAAATGGGGTTTAAAATTTGATATTTTTTCTATAAAAGCGGGTCAAACACAAGGGTTAAGAGGTCAGTTATATAAATACCAAAAGAAAAGTCTTGTCACAAGGAATGCATAATATATGTGAAATGTAATGTAATTTAGCTAAGCGATATTAAAGTTTTAGCGGACAAACAGATCAGCAGACTGACAAATAGGGCAAAAAAACGGGGGTATTATCAACTACCCAAAATTCACTGACAAGCACAACAACAACAACATCAACAACAAAAAACTCTTGAAGACGTTTTAATCGACTTTAATCACCCCCCCCCCCCCCGGTTCCTCAAGTATGACCATGTTTGAAGTTCAGAAGTCGTGAACCACCTCTGATGCCTCCACATGTCAGCTTATGCTCAAATGCACGAGATATGTTAACCAAAGAAAGGACGTATTATCAATGAATTTACTTGTGAAATAGGTGCAGATCTGTAGCGTTATGGTTTTATATTTGTCTTTGACCATAACGCTACAGATCCTGTAATGCCAAAAAGGTGCAATTTACGGCGCAATATTTTTGCGCACTTTTGGGGAGAATTTCTCCACTTTCCAGCATCGGTCAATTAACTATTTTTCACTCCCTACTCCTAGACACATTATTTAACTTAACTGTATATTTTATCCATCTCCCAACCCTTTATAGTCGTCTCTACAAGTTATAAACTCGCTTGATTAAATTTTTTTTGTTAGATTGCTGAAAATTCACTTCAAGCAAGTTTATTGTCTGTAGAGAAAACTATAAATGGTTGGGAGGTGGATAAAATAAACTTATTGAATACATAATGTGTATAGAATTAGGGAGTGAAAGCTAGGTAGTTGATTGACCAATACTAGAAAGTGGAGATATTTTCAAAAACTATCGACATCTTTACCACTCTGGAATTTATTGATCTATTATACTATTGATCTATTATTAATTTATAGATCTATCATACTCTCACATGTGAAACCTCTCCAGTACTATATTCAATATTCAAGAGTCATTGCCAAGGATAATTTTTATTTAAGTGTGTCAAACTCAAATGTCAAGGTAAAAAATATTAATATCAAAGGAAAGGTCTGAATGCAAATGTGAAGAATGAAAATCCTAGAAAAATTGTTATCAAAGCTTCGTAGTGTAATCCTCGTGAAGAGACTTTTCTTTGATGTACATGTAATTATTCACGACCTTGATCTTATAGTTTGACCCACTTAAAAAAACTTCAGCCTTATCCAAAATGTTTGAAAGGACTAGGGCTTGTTAAAATTCTTCCACGCGTGTATTCTTAGCTAGGGACAATACCTTTCTTAGAAAATTAACGATCTTGTCCTTGACCTTAGTTTGACTTTTAGTTTACATGTACTTTTGAAAAAAAAGACTTTAAACTTTGCTATTTTTGAAAAGTTAGTGCTGTGACCTTCATCAGCTGTTCATGTTTTACATGCATGTGTATTTCTTTTGATTAAACCTGTTCTTGGGTACCACTTAATTTTGAATGATTGGTTCTAGGACTTTCATATTTCACATGTGTAATACATGTGACAGGACCTTCCTTTGGACACCATTACTTTTGACCTAGCTGCAGATCTGTAGCTCTCCGAAAAAATATATATTGATAAACCGGTTTACCAACATTTTTTCCGGAGAGCTACAGATCTGCAGCTACTTTTGACCTTGACATCTGACGTACTTTTTGGAACAAAACTTTATCCTTTGCCAATTTTCAGCTGTTGGTGTTAGGATTGACAGGAGTACTACTTCAGGCAAACCATTGGGTTTTTTTTTGTTTTTTTTACAATACAAACATTTCTTATTAAAATTCTTTTACATATTCTTTAACCTTGGAGTTTGACCTACTTTTAAAAAAACTCTGAATTTCACAAACACATCAATTTTTATCATCGAATTTTCCGTTCAAACAAATTTCTGAACTTAATATTTTTACGTTGACATTGTTCTATGGAAAAGATTTTTAATACTCAATTATATTTACATATAAAAGGAAAAATAAGGAAGAATATTTCAAGTGCGATGTTCGGGTCTTTTTCTGTTGTCCGCATTCGATTTCATGCATCGATCCGGAAGTTTACGTGTAGCAACAGCTGCGCAGAACCGGAATACGACAACTTCCAATCAAGAGTTGCCACATTTGCCGGTACGGCAAAATAACTTTAACATTGCATCAACTAAACACCTTAACTTGAACAGAAAAAACATAAGCCTATAGTAGAGGGACAATTCTCTGTCGGTAAGTGACTTAAATACACCAATGTCTGCTTCCATCCGCTTCGGTGAACAGATCTGTGGACAGTGAAATCCACGTGTTGTTTACAACCAACTAAACCAGCTGATTCGCTTGTCATTTGTATATGGATCTTTTATAAGTTGTAGTAAACTATATAGCAATTTAATTTAAAAAATGACCAATCGTCTCTTTCAAATAAAGTTAATCTGACTGATGAGGACGAAAAATATCTGACATATGTCATTGTCTTGCAGGAAAATATTACTTTTGATAATTGTACCATTGATTGCATCTTTCTGCAATTGTACATATCGTGCACGATTATCAGATTATATTGGTTATAATGAAAAAAAATCCATTAAAAAAGGATAACCTGTTATATTTGTATCAAATTATTCTGGCATAGGCTATTGAATGTTCACATTTCTAGAAACTTCTCCAACAGTCCTGGGAAAATGCAAACATGTTCTCAGTAATTTGGTGTCAAATACTGTAATACATTGAAATGGTTATAAAACTTCTTCAAATATGCTGTGATCAGTGTAAATATAATTAAATGTCTAGAAAATCAAGTCCAAAGTCACTCAATTGTCATGCACATACAGAATCTTGTTTATCAATATCATGTTACAGTTTGATTATTATCAGCAGATTATGTAATTATTGTCATCAGTTAAGCCCCAGAGGAGAATGTAGGTTTTATGATACACACTCATTAATACTTCCTGATTTTGATACTAATAACTTAAAATTATATGGTGGAAAAAGTTTTGTCTTATAAAATCTATAGGTTAATATCATGAACCCTGAATAAGTACAATAAAATTTTGTTGCTAAATAAAGTTTATTTTTATTACAGTTATGCACTGCCTTCGAGGAGGATGGCTAGCTTTGCTAGCAGTAATAAGCATAATGTTACCAACAGCATGTAAGTAATGCATTTTGAATAGTAGAAATAAGAATATCACGTTTAATATAATACCAATTTATCAACAAATACAAATAAAGTTTTAAAAATTACAAAATAACTTTTAATATTTTAATTCTTAAGTAATTCTACATACTCTTCCCAAAATATTTCTAATATTAAGAATAGTGATGTATAGATACAATGACATTGGTAGACTTTCCAATTTTTTAGATGGTGCCAGTCTTGCTGTGATGTCCATTGATCTTGGAAGTGAATACATGAAAATAGGAATTGTGAAGGTAAGGTGATGAATAAAATCTAGATTTGTTGAAAAACAAAGAAACTGATATAATAATGTAGAAGGAGTACATGTGATGTATATATAGTAAAAAAGGTTTTTAAATATTTCTTGCATATTTTTCAGCCTGGTGTTCCTATGGAAATTGTCCTGAATGAGTAAGTACTCAGTAAATTAATCTGTTGATAAAGAAAAAAATACCAAAAAAAAAAAAAGATTATGTCTGGTGTTAGATGTGATCATTCTGCATAATTTGCAGTAAATAAAGTAGAAGGTTTAGAGATGGACCTGTAAAGAATTTTGTCAAGTCTCTATGTTAGTATATTATCATAACCAGACAATGTATTTGTGATGACACACTTCAGTTATTAACAAAATTGACAAAACTACTACATGTACAAGCCAGCTTGGCATGAAAACCTTTTTTCTGTCATTTTCCACCATTAAGGAATTCATCTTGGTGAAATCATATTAATTCGTGTTACTATATTTTGCCTTTTTTAGTGAATCTGCAAGAAAGACATCAACTATTGTAGCTCTTAGAAATGGGGAAAGAATGTTTGGTTCAGCAGCAGAAAATACGGTTTGTTGATGTTTATATAATCTGTTTAGCATTTTAGCTTTTAAAATTGAATATTTCATTTGTTTTAGTTTATAGAACATTTCTCTGAGAGATTCACCTTAGATAATATACATACATTTAAATTAATATGATTATTAAAACATTTGCAGGCTGTGAAATTTCCCAAGATGGCATATTGGTATTTGACACAAATAATTGGTAAACGATTTGAAGACCCATATGTAGACATGTACAGAAAAAGATTTCCCTATTATAACATAATCAAGGATGAAGTTCGAGGGACACCACTATTTAAAGTAGATGAGTAAGTATAAAAGTAATCTGAACATTTCAATTACTTCAAAGCAATTGATGAGTTTATCCTATTTTAATTAATGTATAAAAATGTATCTATTTTTCCGCAATATTTGAGATGCACATGTATTAAATTTTATGTACATGTAGTAACTACAATAAGTGCATATTGAAAGAAAAGAAGATGCATCTTAAAGAAGTGCAGGTTTTAATTTTGTCATTGTTTCAAACATACAGTGATTCTTTACAGTGAGACCACATACAGCCCAGAAGAGTTGTTGGCTATGGTGCTGGAAAAAGCCAAGAGTTCAGCTGAGGCATTTGCAGGTAGTTCTCTTTTTAACATGTTTAAAGAGAATTAAATTTATTGATAGTACAAGTGAAAACTGATTCTTATTTATAGTGACAGATAATCTGTATAAATTCTAAATTTTAGACTTGAACCAAGCAAAGTTTATGAAGACAAAAGTGCCTGAGTGCTTGACCAATGCACAAGTGTTTATAATGAACCTATTATACCCCTGTAATTTGTTTTTGTTTTCAGATACTCCTATTTCTGATGCAGTGATCACTGTTCCCTCATACTTTACACAAGCTGAGAGACGGGCTGTTAGAGAATCTGCTGAAATGGTGGGAATAAATGTCCTACAGCTGCTCAGTGATAATGTAGCAGGTAATTTATAATACATATACATTCAAAGTAACATTCATGCCCCCGGGCAGCCCCCCCTTTCCAAAAAAAAAAATTAATGGCCTCATATCTTTTGTTCTTTTTCAACACTTTTCTAGTTATGAATGAATGGGATTTTTATAAATTGATGTGAGTTTATTGTAATAATAATAAATCTATGCACACATCTTTAAACTGCATCATTTTCAATTTTTTTTACAGTTGCTTTGAACTATGGTGTGTTTAGAAGGAAAATGTTCAATAGCACTACACAGTACTACATGTTTTATGATGCTGGAGCCACAAGTACAACTGCCACAATTATAGGTTTGTACTAAACTTCCAAGGAGTGAAAATTATATGGAGTTTGACAGATTTCAAGTATAGTCAAATCTCAATATCTTGAACTTTACAAAAAATCTCTTAGATAATGTAGACATACTTTTTTCCATGGGGTCATAATTCTGTGAAATCTCAATTTCCGTTTATTCCGCGGGTTGAAAATTACGTGGATATCTCAGACTGTCACTATATGCCTTGTGTTTATATTAAGTAGGCTTGGACAAATTTCTGCAGAAAATTTGTGACGGTGTACATATTGTAAATAATTACCATGCGGAAAAAAGTACTTCTACTGTATTCCAGAATTTAAGATATCAAGAGTAAAATACCTTAATCATGGTGGACTTTCAAATCACTTTGACATAATCATTGTATTCAAGATATCAATGTTTGAGATATCAAAGTTAAACTGATTAATAGATAAATGGTAACTGTTGGTTTTTGTACAGGATATCAGATGGTGAAAGTGAAAGAAGGAGACAGAGTGGAGACATACCCTCAGCTGTCTGTCAAGGGAGTAGGGTAAGGACTTGTCCCAGTTAGAGGGCTTCTTTGGGATAAACATAAAACATTCTATGTGTATGAGCTATAACCAGGACCCCCCCCCCCCCTTGATAAAAAAGAAATACTATATTTTGCCTGTTTAGTTTTCATCTTGCAATCTTGGAGGATGGTAAGGAAATGATATGTGTTTGACTAGAGATATATATAACTATATTTGATATTTGTTGGTTCCAATCAAATTGATTTTAACAATTCTATTCTTGTTAGGTTTGACAAGTCATTGGGAGGTCTGGAGATGACTCTACGACTGAGGGAGCACCTTGCCAAGTTATTTAATGCCCAAAAGAAAACCAAAACTGATGTCTTTACAAATGATAGAGCCATGGGCAAACTGTTTAAAGAGGCTAATAGACTAAAGAAAGTCCTCAGTGCGAACTCAGAACACATGGCACAAGTAAGGCCGATTTTTTTTTTCAAGCATATGTACACTGTTTCAAGCTTATGTGCACTGTTCATATAACATTTCAATCTACAATTCATTTGATCCCAGCTTGGAAAGTTTTTGTGCAAAAATTTAAAACATCACACATTTGGTATGGCAATATAATTTAAGGTTCTTTCACCCTCTGATAGGAGAGATAACTCTTCATTGATGAATGTCTAGTTTCCTTTATAGAATTTGCAACATATGAAACGATGATTTTTTTAAAAAAATCCTACCCCCCGCAAAGAAGTATACTGAATGCTTTTCTCATTTTTCCCTCAGGTGGAAGGCCTTTTGGAGGACATTGATTTCAAGGCCAAGGTCACTCGAGATGAGTTTGAAGAAATGAACAAGGATTTGTTTGACCGGGTCCTCCAACCTATTGAAGATGCACTTAAAACATCACACATTACACTGGTATGGCAATAGGATTTAAGGTTCTTTCACCCTCTGATAGGAGAGATAACTCTTTATTGATGAATGTCTAGTTTCCTTTATAGAATTTGCAACATAAACAATATTTTTTAACTTTCAACCCTGTGATGTATGTGGAAAATGTGCATATTTAATTATAAATTAGATTTCATTTGGAAAATCAGAAGCATGAAATCAAAATGTTTATTTGGTTAAAAGAAGGTTGATGAGCCTTAATTGCAACACATATAGTTTTGTATGATTTCTCATTGGTTTAGTATTTCTAACTTTAAGTTGTATTTATTTTCTCCCTTTCCCCCTACAGCCAGAAATTACAGACGTCATTTTGATGGGTGGTGGTACTAGAGTCCCTAAAATGCAGGACATGTTACTGAAATACATCAAAAGGTATGTAAAGACTAAATTTTCCTAGAATATATGGAATTGTCACCTGTAGTTAAACAAGACAGTCATCTGTTTTGTTCAGCTGTTTTGTGTCTAGCAATAATTTGAACCTATATAATTATTTTACAGAGATGTCCTGGGAAAAAGCATAAACACAGATGAAGCTGCAGCATTAGGGGCTGTGTATCATGCTGCAGAACTTGGGAAGGGATTCAAAGTTAAAAAGTTCTTAATCAAGGATGCCTGTCACTATCCCATTGTTGTAAGTTAGGTTAACATTTTCTTTATTTGTACATATTTTTAAGTATCGAACTTTAAGAATTCTGAAATCATTTTAAGAGAGAGAGAGAGAGAGAGAACCTTGCTTGCTATCAGATTCAAATTAAAATTTTAAAACTGGATTCCAACACTTTCACTAGTAGTTTAATATTCACTGAATCTTGCATGCACCATCATTGTTACATAGAACAGAAGAGGTTTTTTAAAACACACTTTAAAGAAATTGCTATTATTCTTTACATCTATAAACAAAGTTGTTAAAAATACATGTAAACAATATGGAAAATGATTTTTTTTTCTGAAGACAACCATCTTAGGATGAAAACTGGGTAGGAAGTTTTCACTTGAAATATTTTCCAGCTCAGATTTTCATTTCTTTACAATTACTTCAATTAAAAAAAAATTCTCAAAATTGTTTTGTTTTTCTATTGTAGGTAGAATTTGAAAAACAGACAGCTGAAAGTACAGAGGACAAACCTAAGGTTGTCAGAAGGACCTTGTTTGGAAGAATGAACCCATACCCACAGAAGAAAGTGATGACCTTCAACAAGCATGTGAAAGATTTCTCCTTCAATGTCATGTATGGAGACTTAAGTTTCCTGAGTGCTGAGGATTTAAAGTAAGTCAAGAAAAAAATCTTATAAATATATTCCTTCTTTCTTTGACTCCAACATTTGGAGACGATAGTTTTCTGCGTGCTCTGGATTTAAAGTAGATCAAGAAAAATCTTGATTATGAATATGCTCTTTTTTCTTTGACACCAAAATATGGAGTCATAAGTTTTTTTTTTAAGTGGTGAGGATTTAAAGTAAGCAAAGTAAAATCTTGAATATATACATTTTTGTAAATTCTTCTTTCTTTGCTTTGGCACTAAAATGCAGAAGTTTGTCAAATAAGCGACTAATGTTTTCATGTCATTCTTTGGTAAAACTATTATCAACTGCAGATAGATATTAGGTTTTTGATATTAAATTTTCCTCATTTTTCTGTTTAGATCCTTCCCTGATCCTCTGATCCACACCTATCACTTGAAGGGAGTGGAGGAGGCACTAAAGAAACATGCTGAAAAAGCCGAGAGTAAAGGGGTGAAGTCTCACTTCAGGATGGACGAGGATGGAATCCTGCATCTGGATAAGGTATGGCGACTGTGTAAGGCATGGGAGTTTGTACAACACTGTGTTAAAAAATGGAGTGCATATTTGATATCAAAATGTTTTCTTTTTTAATAACAGGTAGAATTTGTGTTTGAGAAAGAAGGCGAGGCAGAAGAATCCACTTGGTCAAGTGAGTAGAGAAATTTTCTTCAAGAAATATGAACTATAGTATATACACACACACAAAGTGGAATTTATTAATTTTTTATTTATTGACACATTAAAATGCCTTGAATGTTCTTTACAGAGCTTGGTGATACTATAAGTGGACTGTTTGGAGGGAAAGACAAGAAAGAGGAGGAGAAAAAACCAGCTACAGATGAAACGGCTCAAGAGGTAAGTCCCACTGATTAATATAGGTTTACTGTTTATAAACTATGTTTATACTGCTTTGTAGAGAAGTTTTGATCCAAAAATTCTATTAACACTATCCCCATTGCATACCTTGTACTAACAAATTTGGTCAGTGTTTTGATTTTTAAAGCTCATTTATTTTTATGCAAATGATATTCATAAAAAATCCTTGATCCGCCCATCCTTAAATGTTGTTGTTTTTGGTTTATTATTATTTTTTATTTTCATTTTATCTTTTATTTTGGAGTTTGGTTGTATTTTTTTGTTGAACTGCGTGCTTTATTTGCATAAAGGGAGACAAATCCAGCGATAAGTCTGGTGAGGGGAAAAAAGAGCCTGACGAGCAACAACCAAAGACAGACACGGGGGACAAAAAGGTTCCTGAAAAATATCATAGCTTCTGTCCTTGTTTTCATTTACGTTTACTAAACTTCCTGTATTTAAGTGTTTACATGTGTTTCTCAATGCTTACATCTCCTAATCATCTTCCACAAATCTTTATGTAACTCTGTCACTGCAGTACATTTTATTTTATTATACTTTCATGCATTGGTAGACGCAGTTAACAAATTACCCTGAGCCTTTGCAACACACGTGGCAACGGGTAACACAACGGTAATGCCATATGCGTGGAAATTTCTCCTAATCAATCTTCCGATAAAGCTTACTTTATGAAATGCTTGCGAGTGTAGGAAACATGCTTGCGAGCCAGAAATAATGAAGCTTTATATGATTGTGTATCAAACAAACAATAAGGAGATTAGTGAACCGGTGAGTGTATTCGTCATTAAATACGACACGGTTTTTTTTTTTTGCTGACGTCCTTAATCAATAAGACATTCAGATTATATGTATCGGTTGACAATGGTTTTCCGTCATAGTGTGTATGTATAACACTTTGTTTCAGATTGTTCAGATTATATGCTTCTCATCGTCATGTAATACTTGGTTAAAGGGCTAAAATCTGTATTTTGAATGTTTGTTAAATATGTGTTTATATTCTAAGAAACATAAACTAACTTTGTATTATGCCTTGCCTTTTTACAAAGAATAAAAATTTAACCATCTTCAGTAAAGTTCTGTAACTTGTTGATTATGAGGAGGTCATTATAATTTAAACATCAAATACATCTATAAAGGTAGATCTATATCCGAAAATTAAGTCAAGTGCCTTTTTTGTTTTAATGTACTAGTGTAATTTTCTTCCAAAAGTTAAATTACATTACTGATCAGTTTTATATCTGTTCTTAATGATATTCTAATTTTTACTAGATTCCAGCCGATGAGGACAAAAAGAAAGAAGAAACAACAGAAAAACCTGCTGAGGATAAAAAGGTCGATGATAATAAAACTGATAAAAAAGACACAGAGAAAGTTGACAATACAACAAAAACAGAAAACAAAACAGAGGAGGTCAAGGTCAGAGTTGTCATGTTTACTGTTGTAAAAAATGAAATTATAAAGTTAAAGAATTTTACATGTAAATATTGAAAGAACATACATGTATGTATAAAAATTGTAATTATTGTTGTGTATTAGATTTATTCTATATTTTCCATAAATAGCCGAAAGTGTTGGTCATTAGAGAGGACATCACTGCAGAGAATGTTTCTTTTGACATCCCTCCTATTCCCGATGAGTTATTTAAGGCCTCTAAGAAAAGGCAAGTTTATAAAAATTAATTTAATCGAATTAAAACTAGCCTGCAAGAAATTTCATATTTATTTTTCAAGTTTTCTCTGAGGAAGCAGTTAAAACTATTAATTGTAGGGATGTCAACGAATAGTCGATTATTCGACTATCAGTTGAATGGACCGACGATCGAATAATGAAACGAAATTCGAATTTGTAATAAATGCTAAAAAGGAGGTGTTAAAGAATTCTCAACTCAAAATTGTAAAGCGTCATTCCTCAAACCATTATAGTATCCGTCCTCAGACGAATAAGAGCTTAAACACAGTCACCGTATTTAAATAAGTTTCCACATTGTTTACATGGAAAGAACAGTTATTACATGCCGCGATAATTATTTCTTAATTACTGACCTTTTTCGTTATTGTAGTAAATTATGCAGCGCTTTACTGGACTTTGAAAATTATTAATTGGACTTGTACCAATTAAAAATTTATTCATTACATTTTTGAATGTTTAAATTATGCAATAGGAACACAGTATAGCCGTGAAGTTTTGAAACTTCGATAATGATTAAAACAATAATCTCCTCCCCTTTTCCAATTTATTTTAAATAAGCTTTAAAACACTGCTGACAATTCTCTAAGCGTACTAGAACGAAAGAATGTACAGACCAATTTTTGAATGTGATTTACGAAATTCATACATTTTGGAGAATCAATTGCTGGTGTGAATCTATTTCATTTCTACATCTTATCCCAACTTAAAATTCATTTGAATATCGGTGCGTAACACACAATATAGGCATTTGATGTTACTTTTTTCATAAATTTACGAAAAGGGTTTTTAATTTATAAAAACGCTATCAATTAGGTTTTTTTTCTTCAAAAAATGCTCCGAATAGTCAACTATCATTCGAATAATGCAATCGAATGTTCGACTAAGGAAAATAAATATTTTGACATCCCTAATTAATTGTAAACTTTTGTAATCTTTCAGGCTTGCAGAATTGACGGCTAAAGACAAAGAGAAGAAATTATTGGAGAAGGCTAAGAATGACTTGGAAGCTTTTGTTTATGACATGGGTGACAAGATTCATGATGATGACCATCAGAAATGTTCCACAGAGACAGAGAGAGAGGAGTTGTCCAAAATGTTGTCTGATGCAGGGGAGTGGATGTACGAACAGGAGGAAGATGCAAAGAAAGAGGTAAATAAGAACTAAGAATTTTTTGGAAGGTCAAAGTAAATGTACCTGTGTGGGCATTATTAATGTTCTGTATCAAAACTTTATGGGATTGTGTAATAAACAAACAGCAGATGTATGGGGTAGGCCATATCTTTGATACACAATAAAATGATATTATTTGAACAATAAATTATCATTTATTACTTCTTTATTGCTTCTAGTCTTTCTTTGTATGTGATTAGCATAAAAGTCTATTTTTGAAATTGTTCACAGGTGTTCCAAAATAAGCTAAAAGAGTTGAAGAAAGCAGTTAAAGACCTGAAGTACCGAGTCAAGGAGCTTTTGGAGCGTCCTAAGGCTTTAGAGGCTCTGAACTCAATGCTGAATCATTCTGAATATTTCTTGGTCAGTGTGAAGAATTTGACATTGGGAGAGGATCCTATGTTTACAGAGGTGGAGGCAAATACACTGGAGAAGCTCATCAATGAGTCATATGTAAGTCATGTTAGAAAAAGATACATGTATTTCTGATGTTAATTAATTAATAGCTTGACAAGAAACAATTATTAATGACTGTTAAGATCTGAAGCAATGCATGTCATTAAAAGTTTTAAGTGTTAATAGTATAATGTGGCAGATATACCTTGGTAACCAGACTTTCTGATAAGACCACTGAAAGTACCATAATTATAAAAAAAATTATTTGATAGTCATTGCTATTTACAAGAATTTTCATTTCTTTAAAGCAATGGTTAGACACAATGACAAAGGAACAAAATCTCACCCCCCTTACACAGAAACCCAAGATGCTGGTGGAGGATATTGCCATGAAATACCAAGCTTTAGACAGAGAAGTCAAATACCTCATCAACAAGGCCAAGATATACCGCCCAAAAGCCAAACCCAAAACCAGTAAAAACACCACTTCTACAAATGGTACCAAAACTGAGGACACAAAGAACGAATCTTCAACAGGAGATGGTGAGACATTACCTTTATAACTCTGTATCAGAATTAATCCTATATACAAGAGAATTTGCACCTCGTTTTTATTTTTGCCCTTTTGCTAATGTCATTGGTGGACAAAATCAAATAGGGCAAATGAAGCAGAGACAGAGTTGTCTCTCTTTGAACACAACTGTATGTGTAATAATGCAAAAATAACAAGGGTTGAAAGTAGTCCTATATTCGTAGTCAAATTGCCTGAAATTAAAAACATTATATCAATTTTTATTGTAAACAGATAAGACAGCGAAATCTGAGAAGGATGAGGGACCACAATTAGATGTACCAGAGACAGAAACTAAGGCCCCAAAAAGGAGACCCAAGTCTAAAAGAGGGGAAGAGAAAACAGAGGGAGAGGAAGAGATTTTACAATTAGGTAAGATATGGAGCTTTTTTTTTATTTTGCTTTTGTGTCTATAAAGATGTGAAGTTTCTAGTTGTTAACCTAATAGGTATTGTATATCAAAAAAAAAAAAGTGACATCTTATTTTTTCCAAGAAAGTTACCATACTTAGTATTGAAAAAATTCCAAATTTGGCTTGTATACACTGTAATGTATAGAATCTTTTATATTACTTCTGTTAAAATGTTTCCTATATAAAGTTCAGACGGTAAAATAACTATCTTTTATAGTTCACGCATAGCAAAGCTCTACCCCGGGGTATAGTTTTTGCTATCCACTTTCGGAAAATTTTCGTGCAATTTTTGCCGCCAATTTTGATTTCCAGCGATAAATCTATTGACTGCTGATGTCATAATGACTTCAGTAGCATTATGACGTCATCAGGATTTCAGATTATTCTTGCAGTATTATCTTACTCCAAATAAATTCAAACCTCAGAAATTAGGCCTATATTATACATCAGTATAATAAAACGCTTATCCACTGTTTGTGAATGGGATAGCTCTTTCATCAAACTCTTGACAGGAACTATTCCCCTTGGGCAAGCCCTCGGGGAATAGTTCCCTGTCGCGGGTTTGATAAAAGAGCTATCCCACTCACAAACAGTGGATAAGTGTATATTATATGTAAAGATATCTATGTAAATGTTTTGCTGTAATTGTCATATTTACTGATGTTTTCATTTCAGATGAGAGTGATAAACAAGAAAAATCAGAAGATACAACAGATAAAACAAAGGATACAGATGACACAGTGACACATGACTCTAGTGATTTATAACCCCATGGGATATTAGGAATAATATATTGAACAACTTACTCATTACATTTTGGTTGGATTTAAAGATGAAATGTTTTGCAATTGTGTGCTTGGCATGCAAAGTTTACGGAATTTAGATTTTGGGCAAAGAATTAATTTCTATATTTTGCTGTAAGAATTGTCATGAGATTTGATTTCACATGGACTGTGTGAACAGAAATAAAGTTTAAGAGGGCCTAAGAAAGATAATATATTGATTTTTTCAATTACTTTTACATAATAAATACTTTGTTTTAACAAAGTAAATGTTGTCAGATAGAATTTTTTTAGCAAATCATTCAGTATTTTCAAATGTTAATCTTTTAAGATCATGCATTGTTAGGTGTTAGGTAAATTTCTGTCTTGCTGTGCTTGATGTTTATTGACTTTTCATTTTCATAGAAATCATTTACGTAAAGAAAAGAACCACAGTTACAGGACAGTAACAGTACCTTAAGTGTTCAGTTCTGACCTCCGCATAAATTGACCTACCTTAGTTAAATCCTATTTTATTTGCATCTTGACTTTAAGTCATAATACTATTGTTGTATGAATGGAGGATGAATGGACAGGATGGTGTATTTGTTGTATAAATGATGTTAAAAATGATGAATTATTTATGAACATGTCATTAGGTTTATGAATGCTGTTGTTTTAGTAAATGTTTTCATGTGATGTCATGCTACAGGGGATGGCATGGTGTATTATAGATAGTATATGGTGAAGAAATTAAGGCATTTGGTGCTCTTGGATCATTACTACATTTTTAGCTCACCTCAACGAAGTTGGGGGGAGCTTATGTGATACCCTCGGCGTCGGCGTTGGTGTCGGCGTCGGCGTCCCAGGTTAAGGTTAAGTTTTTTGGAGCAGTTTTCTTTTTAATTACTTCTGTGTCCTATACTGATTAGACATGCATGGAAGATGGTTTTAGTGTGTTTTATTGTACCAGACAAAGTTTCAGATGCTGCAATTTCAGCAAAGGAATTACCAGGTTAATGTTTTTGGAGCAGGTTAACATTTTTGGTGCAGTTTTTGGTGTGGGTTTCATTTCCAAGTAACTATAAGCCCTATGTTGACCAAACTTGCATGGATGATACATCTAAGGATGCATACTACCGTGCTTGCTTCGGATGCTGAATCTGACCTACATTTTCCGGTTGAGTGAACAGGTTAAAGTTTTTGGTGTAGGTTTCATTTCCAAGTAACTATAAGCCCTATGTTGACCAAACTTGCATGGATGATACATCTAAGGATGCATACTACCGTGCTTGCTTCGGATGCTGAATCTGACCTACATTTTCCGGTTGAGTGAACAGGTTAAAGTTTTTGGTGTAGGTTTCATTTCCAAGTAACTATAAGCCCTATGTTGACCAAACTTGCATGGATGATACATCTAAGGATGCATACTACCGGGCTTGCTTCGGATGCTGAATCTGACCTACATTTTCCTGTTGAACAGGTTAAAGTTTTTGGTGCAGGTTTCATTTCCAAGTAACTATAAGCCTTATGTTGACCAAACTTGCATGGATGATACATCTAAGGATGCATACTACCGGGCTTGCTTCGGATGCTGAATCTGACCTACATTTTCCGGTTGAGTGAACAGGTTAAAATTTTGGTGCGGGTTTCATTTCCAAGTAACTATAAGCCCTATGTTGACCAAACTTGCATGGATGATACATCTAAGGATGCATACTACCGGGCTTGCTTTGGATGCTGAATCTGACCTACATTTTCCAGTTGAGTGAACAGGTTAAAGTTTTTGGTGCAGGTTTCATTTCAGAGTAACAATAGGCCCTATGTTGACCAAACTTGTATGGATGATACATCTAAGGATGCATACTACCGGGCTTGCTTCGGATGCTGAATCTGACCTACATTTTCCAGTTGAGCGAACAGGTTAATGTTGTTGGTGCAGGTTTCATTTGCAAGTAACTTTAAGCCCTGTGTTGACCAAACTTGCATGGATGATACATCTAAGGATGCATACTTCCAGGCTTGCTTCGGATGCTGAATCTGACCTACATTTTCCGGTTGAGTGATTAGTTAAAAGTTTTTGGTGCAGGTTTCATTTCCAAGGAACTATGAGTTCTTTAATGACCAATCTTGCATAGATGATACATCTAAGGATGCATACTTCCAGGCTTGCTTCGGATGCTGAATCTGACCTACTTTTTGTGGATGAGTGAAAATGTTAGTTTTGATGCATGTTTCATTTCCAATAAACTATGAGCCCTTTAATGAGCAAACTTGCATGGATGATACATCTAAGGATGCACACTAATGGACTTGCTTCGGATGCTGAATTGGACATACATTTTTCAGATAATAGACAAGGTAAAAGTTATGGTTGCAGGTCTATTACCAAAAACTATAAGGCTTATATAACATTGTATAAACCAAACTTGCACAAATGCTGCATCAAGAGATGAAAACTCTCAAATTTGCTTCAGATGCTGGATTTTCATTACATTTTCATGAAGAAGAAGTAGTTTAAATTTTTTATGTAGGTCTATTTCAAAGTATCAGATCAAAATTGCTTTTAAAAATATTTTCATTTTTGGAATGTATACTTTTTGTTGGTTAATTGTGTGACTTTGCCTTACTTAAAGACAACATTCGTTGAGGTGAGCTCTGTAATCTCTGATTACCTATGTTTATATGAAACATTTACATTCCCTATTCATTTATTTTGGTTATCAGTGTAGGCGATTACATGTCATTCTTTGAACCCATGATTGGAATTTGTGTATGTATGCTCAAGTTTAACATGTATAGTACAGAAGATGAGATAGTTAGATGCTTGAAACAGGATGGTGCAAAGTTTTTGTAGAATGTGATGTCCTTATTGTTGGTGAAACAAAAAATAATTAAAATTTATTTACACTATAAAAAGCTTTATTCTTGTTTTTTAACCTTGCCCTTTCCTATAACCTTGATTTAATTCATATTGCAGTAGCCTTATTGTCCCCAAAAAAGATGATGTCATAACCTGTAACATGACAGTAATACCTGCACATGGGTGTTTGCAATCAAATGGACTTAACTATATTCTGGTAACGAGAGAAGAAGCCAAAAAAAATTCTGTTATAAAAAAAAAAATCAATTTTTCAACCCACAAACACTGGATGAAAATCGATTCTAAAACTTAAATGCGCATTTACAGGACACTTCTAGACTTATACCAAAATATTGGGTTACTGTGATAAATGCAAGAGGCTCTGTACATAAAACCAGGCTTTTTTAAGAAAGAAAAAAAAATTATCAAGGATTTTGTACAAAAAGCCATCACTTTTACTTGGATTAACCCAAGGCAATTTTGAAATGTATATGTTATTTCACATCTACATGACACACCCTCTTTTGTTTATTTGAATAAACTACCAGAAACAAGAGGCCCATGGGCTACAACACTCACCTGAGTATCTAAATGTCCTTCCGATTCTTAGCTGATTTCCCCCCAATAGATTCCTATGCAATATCAAAATATTATATGCTTGTCCCAGACTTTGCCCAGACCAAACCCACAAGGTGTCATGATATGCCTAAACTTGAATCTGAGGATGCTTCCATGCATGAATAATCATGGATTAGAATACTTTTGAAGTTATTCCTATGTTATGTTCATTGTGGCTTAAAGTTTTCCCTATCTATTCCAATGTAAAATTTTGCTATCTGGTAGTGGTTTCACCCCCAAGGGTATGACTTTTACAAAAGAACTTACGACTAAGTTCAAAAACTTAAGATGAATTTTTAAAAAATGTTGCAAAATAAATAATTCTCTTTGAAATTGTTTGTGTAAAAATATCTTACCACATTCCTTTTAAAAAGTTTAAAGTAATTTTCGATATAACATTAATTAAAAAGTTATATGAAGAATTAAATTTGGTCTTAAGTCGTAAGTCCTATTGTAAAATGACCCCCCAGGAGTCGAGATTAAAGCTGCATGAAGCTACAGTATCTGAGGATGCTTCCAAATGAATGACTAATCAAGATCTTGCTGTTCTTGAGAAGATTTTCTTGTTATATGCATTTCTATGTAAACTTTGATGGCCCCAAAAGTGGCCATAATGGATAAACCATGATGGAACACCATGAAACTATACTGATGTATAACTCTCAATCCACCATCATGATATGTCCCAGCAGAAACCCAAAATTTAAAGAACTCATTCTTTAAAATTATTTTTATTATTTTTTGAAGATTCAAATTTTCATAATATTTCTATATGTTAAACACAAAAACATACATAGTGTGAATTACAACATATGCTCATGTTTCTGTTTATATTTGCCATTATTCCACTGCATACACAATTCATATTTTTGACTTTCAGTTTTTCAATGTGCATAATTTTCAATCATAACTAAATTTTCATTACAGAATTATCACCTTGTTATATTGTACAACTAAATATATACCAACATTTTGCAAATCTCAAAGGCCTCTCAGAATACATAATTTTCATGTACCAGGTATATTCAGCATGTACTATAGACATGGTGCCTAAAGGATGACTGCACTCAATGGCATACAAAGGACAAGATACGCTGAGACCCCTTTTTGGCCCCTGATTTGGGGTGTCGTTTAGAATGATGCAACAGTTTATAGATAAAAACCAGTTGTCACCCCTGCCACAAGTATAAACGATACATAAAGATTGTAGAAAGGTCAGAAAATGTCAATTTCTGAATTTTTTCAATTTTATGCCAGTGTAGTTATGTACATAAATTTTTTAACACACTTTGCATTAGAAAACATAGAGCACAACCTTGCCTATCTACCAAATTTACATATTTCATACACTATTATCAGATGCATTTTATGTACAAAAATCTCAAATAGGGAAGCCTGTGCTATATGTTTTCAACATGTATCTAAAATATGACGAAATTTCTCAAGAATTGAAGACTATTTGGAAAATGTCCTTTTTCTGCACCTGCTTGTCCCCTCCGTGTTAGCTTTGATTCAAAATTAGTGCTGGTTTTAAAACAAGCATCATCTAAAGTTTGTCACTACAAACTTTCACAATTTTGACAATGTTCCGATTTTTACGAAATAAGGGGCTTAATTCATCCATTAGTATACCTTGTCCTTTTGCAGCAAACTTTCAAAATGTCAGAGCCTTTTTTTTTCATTGCAGAAATGGTCAATAGCTAAATTGCACCTTTAGAAAAACTAAACAGATATCAAAATTCATTATTAATTAAATGTAAATCCATCTTTATAGATGGTCATCACAATTTTTTAAATCTCCAACTGCACTCAAAAGATTCACATCTATGACTGCTCACAGAAATCATTATATAACTTCTTGGTAGATGATCCATTCCCTCACCATATCTTCAAAATGTAATCAGTCTATGACTTTTTAACCACATGTAATAGGATTTTTCATGCAAAATTTTAATAGAAACCTGAGACTGTTGTTGTGACCTCGTCATGCAATGGACTACAATTTGAACTAAAAGATGCATCTAAAATCAAAATTTAGTGTTGGTCATATACAACATCATGTTAAAAGAGTAGATCATGAATATTTTCCTTTTTATTTTATGAATTCCTTTCTGTTAAACTACCGTACTGTATTAAAAATGTGGTTTTCAGATGTAGTTCAAATCATTATCATCGTCCTTTACACCCATGGTGTGAAGAGCAGCTTGTAGTTCAAATATTCACAAAAAAATACTTCTTCACACAATATTGCATTTACGTTTATACTGTGCCAGGTCTTCTATGCATTTGTACGTCTGTAGAAAGGTTACACCTTGTACACTGTACATTAAGTATTGCATTTGTAATTGAAAATTACAAGCTTTTCACATAACTAAAAGGAGATGATACCTTGTATTCAAAAGGAAAACTTGCTTTTCTGAACAGTGTTCCAATATATTACCATTGTTACAACGCACTTTGAAAAATTACGCACTTTGAAAATTTTTTTCAAAGTGCGTTAATTTTTGGGACCAGGTTAACGCACTTTGAAAAATTTTTTCAAAATTTGGGACCAAATCAACGCACTTTGAAAAAATTTTTCAAAGTGCGTTAAGACTGTACATCATAATTTTACACCATGTAAACATTTAACGCACTTTGAAAAAATTTTCATGAAGCAAAAGGAATAAGACTTACATGTATATTTTAGAAATAGACAACAGTATTACCCCCTCGCAACGTATGATGGGATATAGTGATGCGATTATGTGTGTTATTACTTTATGTGTATGTTTTTTTTTATCTGTGTGGAATTGGCTGAATTAAGGTCTATCAGCTTAACTCTTTATCATTCCCACCCAGATGTATCTATTTCTATAACTCGTAAACTTAAGTGTCAATGATATTTGGAAAAAAGAGCATTCTAAATACAGTATAAGCACTGTACAAGGAAGTCTGTAGTAAATCGAAATTTTGTTCTTTTAAATTTCAAAGTCTATTTATGTTCATTTTCAGGAAAATCAGAATATTAATAACATTAATTACATTTAATTATATTAAGTACCTGTCTGCTTTTCGATGTTAATTTGATACCATATCTGATATTCTCTCTGTTAACCTCCAGGTATTTAACTTACATGATATTTTCATAGGAATTGTTCATTTAACATGTATCTAATATCTTTTCTCATGTTTTACGCCAATAAATAAAGCATATATAAAAATTAATAAAATACAATTATTTAGTTTTAAATAGCTTTAAAATTGGTGAAAAATAAGCATTTTTTTTCGTTTTTTGTCTATAAACATATCCCCCCCCCCCGTGAAACACAAAAAGCTTTGGCATAAATTTGTAAATTTTTTGTTTCACGGGGGGGGGGGGGAGTTGTTTTAAAAATATTTTCAGTTTTCCGTTGATTTCTATAGTGGAAAACACAAGTTTTGCCAAAATTATAGAGTTATCTCTCTTTGGTATCCCAAATAAGTAAGGTTTTATGAAAATTCATATAAATATGTATAAAAATTTTGAGAATCATTCCAAGATGTTAACTTTTGAGAATTGACTTAGAGATAGGCGGAAGAATAATACTATCGTTCGTAGTTCTTTACGACCTTGAATGTTGACCTTTTGACCCCAAATTGTCTTCCTAAGGCCACAGGGATTCTGTTATGTTAAATTTCATTGCAAAAGCCCAAAGGGTTGTCGAGATATCGTGTGGAAACGAAAGCGTTACAGAAAGACGGATGGACGGACAGCTAGACGGACGGACGGACCCAAATTAATATCCCCCACTTTTCAAGCGGGGGACAAAAAGTATCAAATCAGGTTCAAAATGATAAGTTATCATACTTAAGATTTGTAGGAATATTGACTAAGCCATGCAGAATTTTTTTTTCAAAGTGCGTTAATATGGTCCATATTAACGCACTTTGAAAAAAAAAGTTTTTTTTCAAAGTGCGTTAACCTGGTCCCAAAAATTAACGCACTTTGAAAAAATTTTTCAAAGTGCGTAATTTTTTCAAAGTGCGTTGCCACATACCATGCATCTTCTAAAATGATATCATAAGACAAATCTACTTTCACTTTGTCAGGCAACTTTTATGTACAAGTGAAAAATGCCTAGTTCATTGATTGTCAAGGTCTGTTTCAAATTTGTTTTATCTTATATTTTCAAAACTGCATATCATAAAATAAAAAACACCAAATTAAAAAAAAATTATTTTAGATATAAAGCGAATTCAATAGCAATAAAATGTTTTCGAAGTATATGAACATGCAATTCTTCTAAAAAAAAATCACTTGTTTAAGTTGACAGAAACTATTAACTTGTGTTCATCTTGTAAATTAAAGGCTAGCACTTGGAAAAATATCAATAAAAATGCATTTTTCTCACTGAAGTTGAATGTACCTAGCTTTCATTGCGAATCATGGTAATTTGTACATGAATATGTAACCAACAAATTATTCAGCATTTTTTTGAAAATGTATTTACACTTTATAGAATAGGATGATAGTCAAATTATGCATGAAGAGAACTTTGAAATTGAAATTTTTGTCAGTGCTACTATGAAATAATTGTAAAATTGAAACTGCAAGAAAACTAAAAATTTCTGAAGATGCCCTTATACGAGAATGAAAAAAGCTACACAATGTCAATTGCAAGATTTCATAGAAATCAAAAAAAAAATCCATTTCATGATAAAGACTGATTAAAAAAAATAAAATCATGTGACAAATGTGTGCTTCAAACAGTTTGGGGCATTGATACAGAATGCATGTACATGTATGTCAGAATGCCTGTCCAATGTATGAATGGTCTGTATCTCAATCACAACATGGCTGAGTTATTACATGAACAGTGAAAACAATAAAGACACAGTAGATCCTATATTCCATATTTTACGAGAGTGAAGCACTAGTTAGGAGTTGGTGCCTGGAATGTCAGGAATAAGCCCATGAGATTGAAGTTGAGCTCGCAGAATTGAATTCTCGTTCTTCAGTTCCTCACATTGCTGTCTTAAAAGTTCCAAGTCCACTGACAGTCTTTCTGTTTCCTTCAGAGAATCACTCATTCGCAAATTTGCAGTCTTCAGCTCAGTTATATAATCACAAGCTTTTGATAAAATTCCTCCTTTACTCTGGAAAAAAAGAACAAAAGGATCTTAGCTCAAAATTTACAACAAAAGGGGCAAAACTTTCAAGAATTTTCTTCTGTGTTTGTTTCACTTTCCCTAAACAATTCTAAATTTCTTAAATTAATAGCTAAACAACATCATTCTTTTTCAATGGTTATCTATTAGTCTGTCCATTTGTCACTAGACAGGGCTATAGATTGGATTAAATAATAAGCAATGGACAATATGAGGCAGAACTCTTAATCAGATTCACATCAAATGCAAATACGTTGCTTCAATGACAAGGCCACTGGCCAATGAGACATAGAAATCATGTCTCAGTTCTAAATTTCAATCCCTTGATTTGATGTTGTCATTTTAAGTCCCAAACCTAATAGTAAGTCAAGATCTTGATTCAATGTCATCTCAAAGGCAAAGTTGCTTTCCAAATAAAACATTGAAATCAAATTACATCCTATAACACATGTACAGGTGACTCTCGGTCTCTCGAAGTTCAAGGGACCGCAAGAAAAGTTCGAGAGATCGAGGGGTTCGAGAAAGAGAAAGTAAAAAAATGCGGAATTTTCAGTTCCGATCTTTTAAAGATAGCGGAAGTATATGTAAATAAAGTCATTGCACGTTTTCAATCGTATAGTTGACAGGTAATTAACGTGATATCAACAACAATGATTGTATTTCGAATGAATAAAACGAATTTCTAAAGTTTCAGTATTTATTTGTTCTTATTTCATGATTACATGAAACCCGAATAGCAATTGTCGGTTTGGCTATTCTGAGGCTTGATCGGGACCTTCACCAGTGTTCACCAGATTTTTCTTAATTGGTATTCAGTCCTTGAGAAAGGAATTTTCTTGTGCAATATTTGCCATGCTGGAATTATTTAGACTCTATTTAATCATAATAAAAGTTCAAAGTCTATCGGAACTTACTGAAACGAAAATCTATAAATTTTAAATTTCTAAAAATTATCGTCTCAATTTCAATTCGAATTAAGTTGTGACTTTGTTTATCATCTACCCTGTAATTAATAACCAATTAATTATATCAGAACACGGACGACCCACAGGTGTAGTGTCATCTATGTAAACACCCAATTAACACCTCCATGCCAGCCTAAGGAGTTCATTGTTTCCAGGTAAGTCCAGACTGCATCAACTGCATCAACTTTAGCTTGATTAGCGTGTATAAACGCGCAATCAAAACTTCGAGAGATAGAGAGTAAAATTCAATGAAATATGTGTTAACGGGTTCGAGAGATTGAGAACTTCGAGAGACAGAAGTTCGAGAGATCAGGAGTAAATTTGCTTAATTATATAGAGGAAAAAAATGGGACCGGCGGTTCACTTCGAGAGATCGGAGTTCGAGCCATCGAGAGTCACCTGTATTTCAAGAGCTTTTTTTGTATTTTAATTTTCAATGTCAATTTTTTTAAAGCTTTTATATAATCCGTAAGTTCTTAATATTCCATATGTCATGATTTTCATTCAAGAACATGTCATCAAGGTCATTTTATGATGGCCAGAAAATGAGCTCAGAAAATGGCTGGAGAATAATGGAAGCACCATTCCTGTCAATGAAAACACCTTGATATTTTGCCTTATTTAAGCTTTTGTAAGTGTTTTGAAGGAAATGTACCCCTGATACCTGTCCTTGTTTTGTGTGTTCCTGTGAACAATCGGGGATGACTTTGGACAACTGTACAATCCAGTTATTTATCTTGTCTCTTCTTCTTCTTTCCACTATAAAACAAAATCAAACTTGCTTAAGAAAATACACTTAATCAGAAAAAAATGTGTTTAATACTTACAGTAATAAGTTTTTCCTTTTAATCTTGAATCAATAGTTTCTGACAATATTAGCCTTTGCAATGAATATGAAGTGCATAGTCAGAAATACACCCATCCACAGTCTGCTGTTGACCTTAGCCTTTGACCTAAGGACCTCAAAACTGAAATGTGACTTAATCCATTGCTCATCCTTTCAAATGAAATTGGATTTTTTAAAGCATTTTTTTTAATCAAAATATGTCATCAAATACAGTGTAATTCTTATTTATATGTATTTTCTGCTAGTCATGACTTCAGCTGGGAACAAGTGCTGGGTATTAGCAGATTTTGAAAGAAAAAGAAAACTTCAATCTTTTCAAATATTATTTATAACTTCTTGACTCTTGAAAATAAAGGTCTAAACATTTCTTTGTATCTGTTCAGAGTCGGTAAAGTACAAAACGACACTGGACGGGTCACATTTGCTGGAAATTTTTCTGATGCATTTTTTCTGATACACAAAAAGATATTTCACTGAATGTCGAGCCAGGCATGATTCAGGAAAGGAACTGGTAATGTACAATTTTTTAGGATTTCCATTACCTTCATTGTGGGTAGCTCTCCGTCTGTCATCTCTACCAGTCCTAACTCCCTCCACTTTTGGACTGAACCCTGTACGTGGGGCTATATTTCTCTGACCCTGTAAGACTTCTTGTGGGGACATCATCACATAGAACTGACCTATTACAAAAGATTGTTCACTGAAATTAAATAAAACTCAAAACATGTGCTGAAATATTAAAATTGAAAGAAAGATGGAAATACATGTATATCAAATGTGAAAATATACATGATATAGTGAAAATCATTTATATCATCTATCTGTGACAGTAATATTTTCCAATATTTTAGACATTTATGTAAACCTATTGTTATTCCTTTGTTTTAAGCATAAAAATATAGGACATGATATTAAAAGATACATTAAATATCCAGCATGATAGTACTAGCTAGACAGTACATGTAAATCTGCATGATGTATAATAAAATTCCTATTCTGATAAAAGAATACACTTCACACATCTTGGTTCAAGCTCCTATACTATGAAACTTTGCCTTCCATACTTTGATTGATCATAATCATACAAGGTCATGAAAGTTTACAAAGGAAATTCCTAATCTTTATAATGAACATTTATTTATACCACTCTGAATTATTCATTTATTTGTACCACTCTGATATGATTGGAGAACTAATGATACAGTATATGATATTTTACCAACAAAGTTGGTTTGAGGGCAGTTAAACAAGCTGCTATACTAAATAGGAAGGATGAAATATTTATGTACCTTGTTGGACTCCTGTATCACCTGTCCAAGCACCTGCAATTTGAAATGAAAACATCAACATGCATATATACAAAGTACATGGAGTTAAAAGTAAATCCTACCCAAGCAAGAAAAGCTAATAAAGCCAGTATTGGAATTCATATCTCGACATTCCCTGTACATGTGCAAAGTAGATTAAAGGTTTGTCGAATGTAAATATCTAACCTGCTGTGGCTGAAACTTGACCCAAAGCTGCATTTGTGCCAACAACATCTCCTTGTGAAGTGACTTGGTCTGCATTTGTGACGACTGTTGTTGGAAAATATGTGAACCTTGTTTCGGTGGCTTGAGTGTCTGGGGTGGGGCTGCCCCCATTGCTGAATGGACTCTGTATAACTGCCTGTAAAAAAAATATCAGTTCTTTTTACAATTATCATTGATATTCATGGAAATTTTTTATGCAGTTTATATTGTATGCAATGACTAATTCATCTCTTAAGACTTTACATTAATTTTATAATAAATTTTTGCTTAATATCATTATGACTTGCAGCAGCGAGTTTACCTGTGCACCTGGTTGGAAAGCATTAGTAGCAACAACCCCTTCAGTACCATCTGTTACCTGGACCACTCTATAAGTTACCTGACCTGTCAATACAGATTTAGCATCAGTAAATGTATGTATTAATTAATCTAGGTTATAATGTACTCAACTAGTACATGAGAGCTTAATTTTATACTGGTGAACCAATTTTAATTAAAAATATGTTGGTTTGAAGGTAAGCTCACCTGTATCTGTTCTGAATTGGTACTGCAGATTGGGATCAAGAGTAATTTGAGACTGTCCTACATTCTGTACTGTTCCAATCCCCTCATCTCCATCTCCTAAAAATAACCCATACTTAAACTATACAACTGGGTAATAAAGAAGGTCGAACTCAAAGGTCAAAATGATGGTTTCCAACAAATGTCTTGTCACAAAGTTGAATACAGTTCAATTTCAGTATCTCAAACACTGATATATTGAATACCCTGAATATGTTGAAGTGGTTTTGTAGTCCCTAAAGCTTATTCCTTAAGTATTTTACCCTGGTTAACTGGGAACCTCAGATATCTTGACATATTTTCTCAGTCCCAAATCATCAAGTTGGAGATAATAAGGTTTGACTGCATGTACAAGTGTGAACTATGAGACCATTCATGCAAATAAAGGTCAAAGCCAAGTTATGGAGGTCAATATGTTGGTATCCAAAGAAAAGTTTTGTCACAACTGTCAAGGAGTACATGTTAAGCACGGTAGCACCCATTCAAAAACTATGCCAATGGGCAAAGTTAGAAATTTCTGTGGACAAACATACACACAACAAGAGGCCCATGGGCCACATCGCTCACCTGAGAATCTTTGACCATTCTGTTTTTTACCAGATTTCCCCCTTGTAATACATATTGTGACCCCACCCTACCCCAATGTTCATAATTTAAACAATTTGAAATCTACACTACCCTAGGATGCTTCCACATAAGCTTTAGCTTTTCTTGCCCTGTGGTTCATGAGAAGAAGATTTTCAAAGATTTTCCCTATATATTTCTATGTAAAACTTTGATTCCCCATTGTGACCCCACCCTACCCTCGGGGGTCATGATTTGAACAATTTACAATCTACACTACCCCAGGGTGCTTCTACATAAGTTTCAGCTTATCTGGTCCAGTGGTTCTTGAGAAGATTTTTAAAGAATTTTCCTACATATTTCTATGTAAAACTTTGATTCCCCATTGTGGCCCCACCCTATCCGTGGGAGTCATGATTTGAACAATTTAGAATCTACACTACCCCAGGGTGCTTCCATATAAGTTTCAGTTTTTCTGGCCCAGTGGTTCTTGAGAAGAAGATTTTAAAAGATTTTTCCTATATATTTCTATGTTAAAATTTGATTCCCCATTGTGGCCCCGCCCAATCCCCGGGGGTCATGGTTTGAACAATTTAGAATCTACACTACCCCAGGATGCTTCCACATAAGTTTCGGCTTTATTGGCCCAGTGGTTCTTGAGAAGAAGATTTTTAAAGATTTTACCTATATATTTCTATGTAAAACTTTGATTCCCCATTGTGGCCCCACCCTATCCGTGGGAGTCATGATTTGAACAATTTAGAATCTACACTACCCCAGGGTGCTTCCATATAAGTTTCAGTTTTTCTGGCCCAGTGGTTCTTGAGAAGAAGATTTTAAAAGATTTTTCCTATATATTTCTATGTTAAATTTTGATTCCCCATTGTCAATCCCCGGGGGTCATGGTTTGAACAATTTAGAATCTACACTACCCCAGGATGCTTCCACATAAGTTTCGGCTTTATTGGCCCAGTGGTTCTTGAGAAGAAGATTTTTAAAGATTTTACCTGTATATTTCTATGTAAAACTTTGATTCCCCATTGTGGCCCCGCCCTACCCCCGGGGGTCATGATTTGAACAATTTAGAATCTACACTATCCCAGGATGCTTCCACATAAGTTTCAGCTTTATTGGCCCAGTGGTTCTTGAGAAGAAGATTTTTTAATGACCCCACCCAATTTTGTCATTATCTCCCCTTGTGAAGACTTGGCCCTTCATTTTAACAATTTAAATTTCCCTTTACCCAAGGATGCTTTGTACCAAGTTTGGTCAAAATTGGCCCAGTGGTTCTTGAGAAGAAGTCGAAAATGTGAAAAGTTTACAGACGGACGGACGGACAGACAGACAGACAGACAGACAGACAGACGGACGGACGACGGACAAAATGTGATCAGAAAAGCTCACTTGAGCCTTCGGCTCAGGTGAGCTAAAAACTATATGTTCCAATTCTCAAGCTGATTTGAATTTAATACAGGGGCAGAATGCTGTGCAACTATCATAATTTTGGAGCATACTCTTGGTAATCGAGACAAGACCTGACTTAAATCAAATTACCCTGATTCTTCAATTACTTATTGTCAAGATATTTGTAAGGGGGACTTGACCAGTGATAAGAATCAATTTTACTTTTGATTTACAACTCAATTTTACATGTGATTTAATAGTAGTCTTGTGGCTTTTAAAACACACTAACCTGTTAATTGGACATCATCAGAACCAGTGGAATCTTTAGTGTCTTCATGACTACAAGGAAAATCATTATTCAAATAATTAAAATTTCATTTTTTAAAAATGAAATCAACTTTATTCTGGCTATTCATAAAAATTTAAAATAATAAATGTATTTAAGTAACAAAAAATGAAAAATCTATGTACATCATGATCTGATTCTTTTGGTCTCAATACTTTCTTTCTCACTTCCCCACAAATTACACTTCCCTATTTATAATGACATTGTTTTCCTGACAAACTTAGAAGCATTGTTGTGACATGTCCAAATAATTCACACACTCATTACTGAGTACCTGATGACTTATTATCTCATGAGTATACTATGTGCTTATTTGTATTTATTTTTAATAACAGTAAATACAGTCTAGATTGCCATAGTGACACTCTGCATTATATGACTGTCTTCTTTCATCCATATTTATTTAATTTAATCTAAGCCCCACCCAATATAATATTATTCATAAATAAAAGGTACACTGTATTCAACAATTTGAATTATTGATAATTTTTGCAATATATTTTGTTAAAGATTAGACTTAACGGATAAAGACCACATCTTGGTTTATACATTGAAACCTATTTAAATAATCGTTTCTTTTAAGGAAAAAAAATCAATGAAAATACAATAATTTAATTTAAACAAATAAAAAAATATTAAGTATACTACTTATTGCATGTATGATCTCTAATGAATTAATTGCCCCCCCCCCTCTTTTTTTTTTTTTTTTTTTTTTTTTTTTTACAAATAAATTGAACATCCTGACCCATGTATAATAGGAGCAAACCATTAAGATATTCCCTGTCTCAGAATAAAATGACTTTTATTGGAGTCCTTTGAACAGTCACTGTGACAGTCCATTAAATGCACTTTTGATTTTTTTTTCTTTTATAAATTCAAACATCATTTATGTCTGGTTCATGTCATTTTCAGAGTTTTTGAGTCCCTCAAATGTTTCCCCTCCATTTTTCTCTTTATATTTTAGTCAAATTTAGGTTAAATTAATAATTTAATTCAATTATCAGTTTTAAACTTAAAACCCCATGAAAATCATCTTTAGTTTATAATTCAGAAAATTAATTTGAGTATCTTCTTTAATGAAATTCACGGTCTTTACATATGATTTTGTTAAGAATTTTAAATACTGGTAACAATCATTTATCATTGATTAATGCTTGGTAAAAATATGTCAGTTTTGATACTGATTTTTTTTATTTGCTTCTAATAATTGCTCAAAGTTTAAAATAAAAAGTCATTAAGTTTGTGTCAATGTCAAAGTATCTTTTTACACAAATTTCTCAAGAGGCATATCCACAAAAGTTGACAAAACATATTAGGCTATAACCTTGAACTCTTAAGTTCTAACGGAGCATATATTTGGCATTTGCATTTTTTCGTTGTCAGAGAGGAGATATTTAAACAAGACCATTTCACATTTCATTTATAGGCCGAATACACAACTTGCCCATAATTTGTGAAGAAATGACACTGATTTCAAAACTATGAACACACGTGTATTCAATCAACATTTAACTTTTCCCGCAATGTCATACTATGCGCACAAAACCAATACGGAACTATCTGACGCCTTTTCTAGAGAATGTCACCTCGTCTAAACTTCCTTATTTTCAATTTCAACACAAAAATAAATATTCCTATACAAACCTGGCCTCTAAGGCCTGATCTAGCATATCCATGTGGGACGATTTGGCAAAGGTTTGAATTTGCCTGGAAATAAAACAAGCTTGATCACGGGGCCAAACAACAGGTCACATGAGATGGAAAATTGAACATGTGACAAAGATGGCGATCTTGCACAGAACTTTGTGTAGGGATATATCGACAAAATTGTCTGAAAACTGAAAAGCTATTGTTGGAAATAATACCCATATGATACGAATTAAATATTTTCTTAATATATACAATTTTGAAGACATCGGTAGTTATTGAATTTTTAAGGGAAATTTACATTTTTAATGTATAATTTCAATGCACTAATTTATATGAGGATGAATATATTTATTTATCGTTGTAAAGCGGTGTGTTTTTAAGAGCCAATCAACGCCGTCGTATCACCGGTACATAGCTTGTGCAACTTCCGGTAACTTGGTTACACGCATTACACTTACAACTCCAAGATGTTAGACTTTTTCTCGATTTTTAGTAAAGGGGGTATCGTATTGTGGTATTTTCAAGGGACATCTCAACTGTTTACACCCTCAATCAACGCCTTGATCAAAAGTGTGATCCTACAGGTAATTATAAAACTTTTTTCATACAATCTAAAATTGGACATATGGAATGTTGATTATTAATTTTAGAACACATGGCTTAGTCAATGTCCTGTTATGATAAATAAGTAAATGGTTGTCATATGTTTGAATTATGAAGTGAGTCTTGAAAGCTTTTATTTTTAAATATTATGAAATCGATGAATCTTAAAGTACTTCCATAGTTAGGAAGGCCTATATTTCAATATATCTTCAACAAAATATTTTACATGTTGGGGCCAGTCGCCCAAATGAGATGCAATAATCCGTTTGGGATAAAATCAAAATGGATGTAAACAAGTTATTTTGTTCATTGATTAGAAAATGGATCCCTCAGAAGTTCTTCAAACTTCTCGGGGGTCATCCTCACGACAGAGACATAAATAACAAGATCAGTCTAGACGAACTCCAAAAACGGCGTTAACGGAAGTGAGAATTTCAGTCTAGAAAAGACTCCGAAAAAAGAGTCCCGCGCATGCGCAGTTATATCAAAACACAGTGAAAAGTGGTGAAAAGTGGGCTCTTACAAAAAGTGCTTTTGCAAAAAATTGGATTACCTTACAATAATGTAAGTACTCAGAAATGATTAATAATAAATGGTTTTAGAGAACGTATTTGTTAGAATTTTGATTTCATGTGCGAATAATTTTTAATTTCAAGTCAAAGTTGACCAACTTCGAGGTTCAGCCAGACATCGTAGAAGTAGGATACAAAATACAAAATAAAAAGTCGTAATCTTATGAAAACATCTCTGTGGTTGAAAATTTGTTTGTAGTGACTAAGTTAGTCATTTTAGAACTACTTTTACTGATTTTATAAGTTTATTTTTTAAGTAAGGAACGCTGGCGAATTTTTAGTTCGAATTTCCTCTGTTTTTCATGTCTATCGTGTACGAATGAATTTCAGCATGTTTAGATCACCAATTAGCAACTGCATTGTAAATACATCTTACCAATAATTAAAAGAGTACTGAATTGATTATTTTAATCATAAATAAGAGTCGATCAGGTGACAGTTACATGAGAATCAATTCAGTTTCCACATTTCCTCCGAGGCTTTTTTGAAGAAAGTTTTCGATTCAAGTTAGATCAAATACAAAGAAAAATAAACGTTTGGGAATTAAATATATAATAAAAGGGGAAAATGTGTAAAATTGAACAATGTAATATATATGTTGTAACTGTTAAACATTGACCTGTAGGTTTTTACCTATTTGTAATATTATTTCGTCATATAATCCTATATGACATCTGAATATTGAGAGCGTTAGTGATGTTATCACCATCGCTATATACCAAATGTTTTCACATATGAATAGATATAATCATGAAAACATTTTTAGTGATAATCTATGAGTGTGAACTAAAAAAACCATTCTTTTAAATTACGGTTATAATAAAAAGTCTTCTCAAATCGAACCTGTAAATATCTCTGCTCTGCCGCCAAAGTTGTGCGTTTTTTCATTAAAAAAAAATACGATATATAATTAAGTGTCTTAGAAATTAAATTATAAGCATCTTTATAGTAGGAATGGCATCAAATTTAAATCAACGGGACAATAAATAAAGTTAGAAAATTAATTCTTACCCACTTTATTGAATCCCGGTGTCGTATGTATATCCCAAATCACTTTTATGCAAGAATACAGAGCGATAAATAAGCCAATAACCACTGAATAATTTAATGGGTACAATTATTTATTTTAAAAAAATTGAAATCCAGTCACAATTTACTAAATACAGCCATTATTCAGTCGTATTTGTGGAGAAAGCGAACGATAATCCATCGTTTGTTTACTTGCTGAAGCCATTTTGCCGCAATGCATGACGGAGCCAAAGACTTCTTTTTTGGAGTTCACGCCGTTTTTGGAGTTCGTCTAGACTGAAGATCCACAACTGTTCGAAGTCTCACGCAATCTCACGTTCCCTATTGTTAAATTTTTCAAATCTCGTGCAACTTAAATCACATAAAACTTTAAAATTATCAGGGATTACTTAGTAATTTTTTAAAATTTATATCAACAAGTAATTCATGATATTATTTTCTCGCAAGTTTGTTTATGAAATACAATAACAAAGAAATCAAAAATTACAACAGGTGACTCTTGGTCGACCATATTGCAGCAATTTTGCCAACTTTCGATCATTAACCTCTTGTATTTGCCTAGTTTGCTTTTAAAATTCATAAAACTTTACAAATCATACACCCAAATATGATTTAATTAATATTAATTTTACTTTAGAATGAAATACAAGACCAATTTGATAAAAAGATTTATTCTTAGGATAGTGCCAGGACCGTCACATATTTCGGTAAACAGGCATGCTAATGGCAGAGTTGCCAATCTCTGTTATTTATGTCTCTGCCAACAACAAGGTTTTGTGATTTTGGAACTCCACACAAACCCTTGACATGAGTCACTTCTTAAAAGTTGGGCTTGTTGCTATACATTACTTAATGGGTATTTAAAAACTAACTTATGAGAATATTTTTTCAAATCCATCATTTTCAAATGGCCCAATTCCAGAGCATACCTTTTGTCGTTTGTAAGGAGGCGTTATCTTCCAAAATTCAATTCCCAATGGTTCATTAAAAGAAGCATTTCACAAATAGTACATTGTTGATACCCCATTTCAAAGACAAGTCATACATGTATTAGAAATCTGATATTGCTAAGATATATGCTGAACCCAGCATTTATTTATTCTATAGACCAAAGTGTATATTTTATTGGACTGTTTTATATTTTAAACTTAGATATTTTAAAGTATATGTTATTGTTAGTTAGAATATGTTCCATATACATGATATAGTTGCTTCATATAAAATTGGTCAATACATTCATGGTATCTGAGATATTGTTGTCTGAGATAGAAATTTTCAGCTTTAAAAATGTCATTTTACATTTTACAACTATATCCCAGTTCCCAATTAATAATAATACTGAAACTTTTTCTTTATTCCAGGAGAGATCTGGAAACAACTCTTTTACACATGATGCACTTACTCTCAAGTACAAACTTGACAATGAATTTGAGCTGGTATTTGTGGTAAGGAATTTTATTTCTCGAAAGCACATATTAAAACTTTCTATTTAACAAAAAATGTGCATCTCGATCAAGGTCAATTTTAGGGTTATTGTATTATTTTGCCAGAGGTGTAAAATCTTTTCATTTGTTGCCGTCCAGAGCTTGAAATTTTGACAAATTTAGGGAAAAAAAATGTCTTAACTTGTTAGTCCAAATTGAATATCATTATTTTGCAATATTCTGTTTTAGGAGTAGGACATTTATATACATTGTATTTTGAGGCATTTATACTCATAGAAGGTATCATTTCATTTATGTAGATTTTGATATATGTTTCCTCAGATAACATTATTTTTAAGAAGCTTCAAGGTAACAATAGGTTGTGACAGAAACAGCTTTAAAGGTTTGGAATTGCAAATACGATGTTTGTCCTTAAAAGAATGACATGGCCTTTTCATATGTCATGGACAGATTTGCACATTTTTAAAGTTATTGTGATGTCTGTTTAGCAGAAAGTGCAAAGGGATACAAAGGCCTTAAGGGGCCAGATGACTTCATCAGTCTGCATTGTCTGTCTGTCTGTATCTTTATGTACCACCATGCTGAGAATCTATATATAATTTTGCCTGTTTCCTGGAACTCTTATTTACTTTGTAGGTTGGTTACCAGAAAATACTACAGCTATCATACATTGATAAATTCCTGACCGATATTCAGCTGGAATTCAGAAACAGATACAAAAATGTCCTACAAAACAAAGCGAATGTTCTTGTGTATGGGTATGATTTCGATGAGACCTTCAATAAGATGCTGAAGAGTTGTGAAGAAGAGAGTCGAAAGGAAGCCCAGGCTGGAAGGTATAAAGTTATTTGTGTTTTGACTGATTTCTTAGTTAAGGTTGATCATCTGTTTACGCATTCCTACTAAATTTTCCTCTCAAACTTAGAATAAAAAAAAGTCATAGTAATAAAGTTTATGATGAAATCTAGCAACTTACAGCAATTCACCAATTTTCTTCCACAAAATATTAAAGGGTGTCTTTTTTCTGGTATTTCCTGGATAGGTGGTCATCTTCTGTTTATTGTGTAGTTTGACAGTGAATGCCTTGACATAAAGACATACATCCCCACCCATTTCATTACTCTGGTTTCCTGTGGTACTTCCTTCAATTACATGTGTAACAGAACATCCTCCACTGGTTTACTTAATATGCTTCATTTTTTTTTTGGGGGGGGGGGTTCAATTGTCATGTTATATCATGTATATATGTACAAAATTTCAGAATTAAACTTTGTTTCATATCTACTAATACATGTATCCCAAAGTTTCTAAAGAGTCAAGACATTTTAATAATTACATATTTCAATACTCAGCAGTTGGTATCCCTCACAATGAAGTTGGAGGGTACAAAATAATACACTAATAAGTAAGTGATTGAGTGTAAGTTGAAGTTGATCAAGTTACAATTTTTATCAGGATCAATGTGCTCTTTTGCACAAGAATGACTTGTTAATTTTGAATGCAAGTAGAGCTGAATGCATTGCATCCTCACAATGTCAAGGTTTTGTGATTATGGAACTCCACACAAACCATTGACAGAAGTCACTATTTAAAAGTTGGGCTTGCATGGTTACACATGTTGAATGGGTAATATAAACTAACCAATCAGAGAATGAAAATATATTTTTCAAATTTGCCTTTTTCAAACAACCAAACTTCTGTAATTGTAAGGAGGAAGATTTTCCAAAAATTAAATCCTGATGTTTTATGTAGCATAACTAGTCACAATTAAATCCTATAGTATTGACGCTTTCCATTTTAAAGATGAGTCAGATTTGTTTACAAAACTTACCCCCTAAAAGCTGTTTTCTGATTGGTTCTGGTCCTAGACAAGGAACAAATGAAATAGTAGCTTTCTAGTCCAACTTTGAAATGGAACTTATGACAAGGGTTTTTACGGATTTCCAAAATCACAAATCTAGACATTGTGAGGATAAACGCATTGGAAAAATTTTAATTTACCTAATTTTAAGTTGTGTTTCTTGACAGAAAAATGAGAACATTTGGTGAGTCTGAGAAATCGAAGAAGACTGTGGATTCCATGATTGTAAACAAAAAGGAAGACAAGAAAGGCAAAGGAAAGGAAAACAAACCTGTCAAAAGTGAGAAACTAATTATTTCTTTTCTGACCAGTAGTGATAATGTGTAAAATATACTCTCATCGTAAGATCTTCCCTTTGAAACACATTTATGATCATTTATGCCCAAACATGAATATGGTCGGGGCATATAATGTTTGTTGTGTCCATATTTTCTGTTCTTCCATCTTTCCATCCTTCTGTCCTTCCATCCATCTGTCAAACACAATTTACATTTAGCTCAGTTTCAAAGAAACTGTTCATCAACAAGAAATATTAATAAAAAAAACTCCTACATGTATGCTGATACATTTTTTGTCCATTTTTTGTTCCCTTGATCTTCCCATGACCTTGGACTTAACTACTTGTTTTATTTAAAAATTAAAATTCATTTACAATAAAATATTTAATAAACTTTCCTCAGACTTCTGTTCATACATTTAAAAATTGGTAAAAGCTATTCAACTGTCAATTTTCTGACCTAAATCTACCTTGTGACCTTGACCTCACTATTCATCATTTACCCATATCATATATACAAAGAGGCAAGGTACATTTCTTCTTTTCATGTTGCATTAATGATGAACCCTGGACCTATGGATATGAATATTTTAGTTCTGATATCTAGTTGATTTTGCAATATCTGGTGTGTAGATGAATGTATATTTCACAAAGCTAAATTAATTTATTTTTTCGGTGTAGATGTGGGAGCTAAGGAGCCAGCACCACCAGTGGAGGTCCCCACTAAGCCCCAGCCAGAACCTGCAGTCAATGGAGATGGTCTGGATGAGGAGACTATCAGGAGAAACAGGGAGAAGATGTTTGCCTCCATGAGTGGCAAGAAAAAACCCAGCAGGTCTGCAAACACTCACCTGACTCTGTGATATGTATCACTTCATCTCTTTATCAGCAACACATATTATAAAACTAATTTTTTTTTACTTTTGTAGCCCAGTAGCTAAGAAGATGGAGCCACCTAAAAAGAAGGGAAAACAGGCTACCAAATGGGATTTGAACGGAACCACAAAAGACATGTCAAGTCTGGATTTCTCATCTAAACTGGAGGGCGGAAAAGAGGCAGCTATTAATGCACAGAATGAAACACCATCAATGGAAGAGGTACATTTTCAATGAACAATTATTTTTTTTGTTGATGTTGAAAAAGTATTTGTACCAATTTAAAAAATAATTGTTTGAATTGAACACGTCATGCTCTTGAAATTTTTATATTATCAAATACTATATAAAATTTTGCATATAATCTTGTACTGACTTTTTGTAGAGGGCTTGTGTTGGTAAGATGAAGGGAGGACTGGAAGATATTCTGACACAGTATGAAGATGAGGAAGATGATTATGAAGAAACTCCAACCAAGACCAGCAGTTCTTCTGGGTAACTGTTTCTAACAGCACAAAATTTAGATGCATTTGCTGTATGATTTCCAATATCTCGCAGATTAAATGATTTCTTTTTTTCGAATTGTTTTTAATAATATACATATTTTTTCATATATAGGTCATCTGGGGGAGGAATGTTCAGCATGTTTAAGAATCTGGTGGGATCTAAAGCCCTTACTGCGGATGATCTTCAGCCGGCCCTGGATAAAATGAGGGATCATCTTATTGGTAAGAACTCCATAAAGAAGCCATATATGTTCTTAAAGTAGGATTCTTCTCGTATTTCTAATATTTAAAAATTAATGAAATTTCCACAAAAACAAGAAGACAATATCAGTAAGTGATAGTATCAGTGAGATTAAATTTGACCGTTTTTATATTAGAGGCAAGGTCAGGTCAAGGTCATTATCTTTTCCCTTGACATTAAGAATAAAAAAATACAGTTGCTAATTATGTGATACCTACTTCTATTTCAATAGTTTAAAGATTGTTCTTTTTGCTTAAAAACATATTACTATATCGGGTTTATAGCATGATATTACCAAATTTACATAAATAATTTAACTAAACTGGATATTAGCTAATCCGAATTTTCTCTGTTTTTCTTAATTTTTTAGGATATATTAGTTATTTGCATATTCTTCCTATATTTAACTTTTTCTTATTTTCACATATAATAAAGTAGTCTTATAAATGTACAAAATGATACAAGAACGAAACGTTTTGATCGGTTACTAAGAGAGAAAAAATACTTTTTATGGATTTTTGGCTCAAATCTGCGCTTTGATAGGAAACGTTTAAAAGCTAACAAAGTTCTAGTTTGTTTGAAAAATCATATTTATTTGATATATTTTGAAAGTTTAGTCCCTCATTATTAATTTAACTTACATTTGAAAATTTCTCCAAGTCTTTGATTGTCTAAAAATTATAACTAAATTCATTGTTCTATTAAAATTTTGAGAGGCAGAAAAGAAGATATTTTCATACGCCACCATTCCACCAAAAATATAGTCCCTGCTAGTTTTCAAATGCAGTTTACTATTTCTATTTAAAGTTGTACAATTGTGATGAAGAAAGAAAAATATGGTCTTTTAAATCCCTTACACCTCAATATATAAGACATGTTAGCAAGTATACATTGAATGTTTCATCTAGTCAGAAACCAGAGAAGAATCCTACCTTAATTTAAACTGAACTGACAGACATGTTCAGAAGTATTTTGTTCTTCTTATCAAGAAATCGGTTAATTGTTGTAAGGCAAGAAAAATTGTGGATTCTTTCTTCCAGACATTACTTTTGGTTTTGTTTTGCATAATTTTAGAGTAACAGTTTAAGGAATAGAAGTGCAAGGAATTCTGCTAATTTTCAAGGTCCTTTGTTTATTTTACAGCAAAGAATGTTGCTGGAGATATTGCTGTGAAGCTCTGTGATTCTGTTGGTGCCAAACTGGAGGGCAAAGTCCTGGGAACATTCACCAGTAAGTCTCAAAAGTATCAGAAATACTTGAAACGTTTCAAAAAACTTTATATTAATAATTATCTCATGTATATAATATGTACATGTATTTACAATTATTAACATTAGAAATCTGATTAAAACAGGAAAGAAATCAAATGAAAAGAAATTGAGTTGGAAGACATTATGAATGCCCTTTGTGATAATAATTTTGAATTGTATTTAAATGTACATGTTGTGTAACGTGTAATTTTGTTGTTGAATTAAAAATAATGTGATCATCATTACAGCCATTGCCACCACTGTGAAGAAGACTTTGGAGGAGGCCTGTGTCCAGCTTTTGGTTCCCAAGAGAAGAATCGACATCCTGAGAGACGCCATGGAAGCCAAGCAGAAAAATCGTCCCTTTGTCATCACTTTCTGTGGAGTAAATGGTGTGGGAAAGTCTACAAATCTGGCCAAGGTATATCTGTAGTTTTCACTATAAGTAATCAAGCAATTCTAAACAATTTTATTACAAGAGAATTAGAGAATCACATTTTTCCCATGTCATTGACTGTGTTGAATATTATCATGAAAATTACAAAGTTCAATCACATAACCATACCTTTTTTGCAGTTTTTGATTTTCTTAAAAAAGGTAGATGAGATTGTCCCTACAAGCCAGAATCTTTTTACAAATACTTTTACTTAACTATTTCTTTTTAAACTCTTTCCTAGATCTGTTTCTGGTTGGTGGAGAATGGTTTCCGTGTGTTGATAGCAGCCTGTGACACCTTCAGAGCTGGAGCAGTAGAACAGCTGAGAACCCACACCAGGAAACTGAATGCCCTCCACCCCCCAGAGGCTCACAATGGTCAGACCATGGTGCATCTGTATGAAAAGGGCTATGGAAAAGATGCAGCTGGCATAGCACTGGAGGCCATTAACTATGGTAAGAATATCACTTGCAAACAGCAAAACTTATGTTTATGCTAGATGTTCTTTGAGTACTGAGCTCTCAAAATGATACCCCCTGCTTTCATATGAGTATTTTGGGAAAGTGCATGTTTTATTATTGTAATTCCCAAATTTCTTGTCCACTCAAAACATAAAATAGGAAGCTTTTGTGGCAATATCCATGTTTTAGTATGGAAAACCCCAAATATCTCTCTGATTGAAACATAGAAATAGGAGGTGCACAATGACACTTGTAAAAGATTCTATGAAAGTCTTGGATCAAATTTTATTCTGTGGTAGGGTAGGAGTTGCTGATAAGGGATGGTTACCCAAATGTAAGACTTATGAGGAAGTCTGCATGGACAATCCCTTCACTATATATGCCCTACTTTTTCTGCTAGGGGTATTAAGCATGCAACAAAAAGCTTCCTAGGTTCTTTTACAGCATCATTGCTCTAATATACTGTTTCTTTTATTACAGCTAGAGACTGTAGGCATGATGTTGTGTTGGTTGATACAGCAGGCAGAATGCAGGACAATGAGCCCTTAATGAAGGCTTTGTCCAAGGCAAGTCATTTTAAGTATAAAGCTGTGTGTTTTCTCAGCTGAACTGTTTCTTTCTCGGTAAAGAAGTTTGTGTGTGTGTTATTGTTATTTCTCTCGTTAAAACCAAGTTAAAGTGTACATTAATTCAGGTCTGACATTTAATAAAATTAAAAGTCATTGAATCATTATACAACTATTTGAGAGAATAGTATATAACAAATTTATTGATTATTTATTATTATTTTTTTTTGTAAACAGCTGATAAAGGTGAACCAGCCGGATCTGGTTCTGTTTGTGGGGGAAGCCCTGGTTGGAAACGAGGCTGTGGATCAGCTGACTAAGTTCAACCAGGCCTTGGCAGACCACTCTAACATGACAAACCCCAGACTGATAGATGGAATCATCCTCACCAAGTTTGACACCATTGATGATAAGGTAACGTTTCACTTAAGGAAGTACCAATGAACCTCTTATAGTACATGTAGTTTTACAATTTACTTTTGTCATAATAAAATTTAATTATTTATTATTAATTTGCGTTGAGCTACTTTTTTTGGATAAATTTGGTTATTCATCAGAGAATTTTTATTTAATAATATTGAAAATTAAATTGAAAAAGTGCTACATGTACATTAAAATAATATTGAATAAAAAATATTTTATAAAGTTTAACAAATGTAAAAATCTTTTGCTAATGAATAGTAAAATAATTTTAGGGACAGTTATTCTAATATCATCAATGAGACAGTGTTTTTGAATAAGTATATTGCTCATTCATCAGTTCATTCCCACATCTTGTTTAACAATAAATGTATGTATAGTTCTGTTGATATTTTTGTTTAATAAAAGCCTATTATTATTGTAGGTCGGGGCTGCCATTTCTATGACGTATATTACGGGTCAGCCCATTGTGTTCGTGGGCACGGGACAGACTTACACAGACCTGCGCAACCTTAATGCCAAAGCTGTTGTAAATGCTCTCCTGAAGGCCTAACTTTCAGATTCTGACAAAGCCCAGATTATTTCGTCTCACTGGTGTAGAAAATTTATTTAATACATTACTTGATAAGGAAGACATAATATTTACCTTTAAAATTTTATCACATTCCTTGCAAATAGACAGACTTGCATTACATGTGTAAAAAATACTAACAGTAGATGCCAAAGAGATATTGCAAAATCATTAAAGGCATTAGTGATCATTTTTGTACATTTTCCAAGTACCTTGTATCTTCATCTGGTTATTTTTTTGTCATTTAATTCATGAATATGCACAAATCACAACTCTGCGTACTTGCACAATGTCCACTATTGAAATCAAAAATCATTATTGTAAAAAAAAAAAGACTCACTTGCATAAATTAAGTATATTATGTCACTGCATTTCATCATCCCTGATATTACTCTCTAGTCAGAATCTTACGTATATTAGGTATTTTCTATGTGTTTCTCGTGCCTTTACGCATTATAATGTTCCCACTGTGATGGATGAAATGGATATACATTGTAATAGTTATCTCCCCTCTGTTGTTTAACTGTTCGGTATTTATGTTTTGTTTATGAATTATGTGGTTGTGGAGAGTAAGTTATGAAAGATTAAATCTTAAACTTGAAAATATGTTTAAGGCTTGTTAATTTTTAAAATCATTGTGGAGTAAATATTTGTTGTGCTGACATTTCATATTTTAAAATATACTGGAAAACTTGGTTGGTTATAAGGAGATGAATCGTTCTTCAAAATTATACCTCCTTAGGAGATTCTTTATAAATGTAATTATAGAAAATAGTGAAAAGTAGCTGCAGATCTGTAGCTCTCCAAAAAAATATATTGATAGACCGGAGAGCTACAGTGCCACCCATTGAAAAAACATTTATTGCGCACAAAAAAGTGCACTCGGTTCCTAATTAATTCTTCCAAATTCTTACCTCAATTGCAAATAAGGAAAGATTTCAAAAAATTCCTTTATCTTCTATCATACTGTAGTTGACATAACGAAGCATATTGGATCGAATAAAACCAAAATGGCAGTATAAATAAGCGAAATGTTCGATGATTACAATATCAGGGTCAGGAGGACTATTAACAACAATTATGAGGAATGTTTGGTTGTGGAAAAAGCAAAAGAATATGTTAGGAACACACGGTTAGAAATATTTTGAGATTACAGTTTGAAAAACATGGAGAAATAAATACTTTTTTGTGCGCAATAAATATAGATGGGTGGCACTGTAGCTCTCCGGTCTATCAATATATTTTTTTCGGAGAGCTACAGACCTGCAGCTAAGTGAAAAGTTGAGGGGTTAAAAAGAAATTTTGAATAACCATACTGTTATGTATGAAATAATTAAAAAAGATAACATTTACGTACAATATTATCACATGTATTTTTATAAACCCTTTATTATATTACTCATAGAGTTATTATAATTTTCAACAGAGAATGAGAATAATCAAGATAAAGCAGTTGCTTGTACATAAACACTTGTCAATCATACATTTTAAAGTTATTCTTCTGAAGTCTTTCCACAAGTCTAAGAAAAACAAATTCTTTTTCCTGAAGAATACTGATATACAATTTAACATTCTGAAGGAGGCATGACATAAATCTGATGAATAAACCTGTAACTATATATTGCACATTTCCTCTAGACTAGAGATGTATGCAGATTAAGGTATGTCCTATGTCTGTCTTCTTCAGGTTCACATACCAATAGTCAGGGCTCATAAAATTGTAAATGAGTGTTTCAGATTTTTAACTGCAATGGCATTATTTCTTCTATTACTTTATAAATTCCATGAAAAATAGATGTGTGCTTTAGAGTGAGGGTGTGTGTGTGTGACATTCTTCAATAAACCTGCAGTGAGGCATGGCCTTACTTCAATTTCTTAATGAATGAATTATCAAACTATATAAGATTTTATGCTAAATTTGACATTCTTGAAGCCAAGGGACTCCTAATTATATGAAGAAAATAGGTGACCATGGAGAAAATCCTTATCCTTATCCTTCTCTACAAAACTGGTACCTCTGTGGAAATCATATGATACAGAAATTAAATGCAAGTGATATACACAATTAACAAAATATGGGTTACAGTTCTTAAATCACCATTCCTCTATCACAATTTTTGGTATTGGTCTATCTAACAGTGGTTTTGCTTCTTCTTTTTCCCTACAAAAAGATTTTGTGTCTTCATCAACAATTTTTGATAGACATTTGCAAAAAATTATTACCCGGTAATTAAAATATTTAATGCTTTATTTTCAGTTACTAGTACTTTCTTCTCACCTGTTGTCGTCAATAAAAACTTCTGTGGGCATGTTCTCCTCTGGTACTTCCTCTATAACATCCGGGGTAGGAACTGCGTCATCTTCCGGTAAAAGCTGCGTGATGCTGGTAATTGTCCCGCCTTCTTCAATGGCGGACAAATTCGGAGCACGAGAAATATTTTTACCGCTCATGGAGTCTTTTATTTTCTGAGCATTTCTCTGATGAACTGAAATTGATTCTTCGTCTATAGGAACGTCATCTGGCACTTGTTCTATAGTGAACCTACCAAAATTAGAGATTCTTTCAGGTAACAAGATAAATTAATTTTTTTCTCTCCAAAATAATTATAAATTTACAAAATTAGCACAAAAATGCAACCTGACCCCAGTAACATAACCACCACCACCCAAAAGACACCTCACACCCTTTACGCCATCTGAAAAAAGAACAAAAATGTAAACCACTAGTTCTACTCACAATTTGCTGTCTAGAGACATTTTCCTACGCAACCTGTGAAAGCGTGTTAGTAAATGCAGAGTTAGAAACCAGCAAATACACTGAATTACGTTTTTTAAATACAAATACAATAGACGTTTTTGTTCCAATACAAGTATATATATGCAAAGCAATGAATTATGTAATATTCCTGTTAGGATGATTGCTAGAGGTGACGAGAAATCGAGCTAAACAACGAATTTGTGACAAGTCCTATTCACCAGCATCAATATTATTGCTTCTATTTCTTAAAGTATATGGAATAGATAAACATGTAGTCATGTATCATATTTGTTAGTATATATATGTTTGATTACTTTAATACACAATATCATAGGAACATTCATAGGCGTCGGAAGCAAATTTAAAGCGGGGGGGGGGGGGGGGGGGGCTAAACCAACAAAAAAGGTAAATCCCAATTTTTAATGCCTATACACTGTATATTGTCTATTTTTGCAAAAAAAAAGTGGGATGGGGGTAGGGGCGGCTAAGCCCTCCGGTTCCGACGCCTATGAGATTACCTTTAACTTCAAATCATAGGATTTTGCCGTTATCCGAGAACAAAGCATTAAAAAATTTCTTCCATCTGTATGATAATCTTATGAGTTTTTTTCGAAACCCTTTTTCTGCATTTACCTTGAAGCTTTATGCCTGGTGGCTGGGCTATTTAGCTTGGAAGGAAGTGAATCAGTAGAGTCATTATTTGCTATATCTTCCTCATACTGAGTCTTCATTATGGACAAAGGAGCACTCTTTTTCCTTCTCCTATCATTCATTCTTTGGTCTATAGAGTTCTTTTTTGCAAACGGACCAATAGTCGTGGCTCTTCTTAATGGAACATATTCTGGAGTTGCATCTGCATCCACTTCGTTAGCGTCACGTAATCTCACAGTTTTCGAAGAACCAAGGGAACCTGAAGAATTCTTTCTGGAGTCTGCCAGTTTGAACAAAAAACTTAATGGAAAACTTCTTTTTCTTTTCCTTTGATTCTTGTCAACAGGGATGTCTTCTGGTTCATTGCCGGTTGTATTGGCACGTGACCTTGCCTGCCAATCCTGATCTGCTTGATTGAGTCGGGTGTCAGACGACCATGCAGATCCTCTGCGAGCTTCGGACACCCCGAATGAAATTTTTCTCTTTGGTTTCTCTGTTGTTCCTATCACTGAATGGGTTCTTTTTGCCTGTTCAGGATAATGAAGATGGTCCATGTGTGGATTTAGGTGAGAAGAGAAACGCCGCGATGGGATGCTTAGTTGATCACCGTATTTTGAGTGTCTGAAATAAAGTCCAAACTTATAAATACGTGTATATAAACGTAATCATTATACAAATTGAATTGCTGAAGAAGAATTTACTGTTTTCCACTGATAAGGCTTAGCATGGACCCTGCAAAGTTGTTGCTGAACACAGACGGCCGACGATTATGGTTATCGTTGTAGTCCACCATTTCATCTGGATGGATAATGCGTTGGTCTTGGAGAGGAACAGTCCTTCAAGAAGAAAACCGATTAATTTTACAGAAAAGTCCTGGCTTCAGCAGTATTCACGATGTGTTGCTTTAAAAGTACCCACGATAAATTGTATGTTGAACCAAGGAACATTGGCTTCTTAGATGCGAGTGATGCATTGGTATACGGTAATTCGATTACACCTTCGTCAAAGTTGACGTCTTTAATCAATGGCGGGAAATCGCCACACATCTCGTCAACGAGTGTGACAGCTACCTAAAATGGACAAGGTGGGTCTACATCAGAACATCTGTGAAACGACAGAAAACGTTGGTTTATGGAAGATTTAATTAGTTTTCCAGTTAAAAAACATATGCTTACCGCCCAGTGTCTATCTAAGAGCCAGTTAATATCATAATCATCATCATCTTCGCCAAAAGGATTGATCAACTGTTCAGCAACCTTCAGGGAATGGAATTAACAACCGCATAAAAAGATTAACAATTCAAGATAAGTAATATTTTGTTTTCAAAAGGGAAAAATTACAATACCTTTAACCAACCCATGTAGAAGAAGAATTCTAGGAGTGTGAATATGGGTACGTATATATCGTACTCATAGTTTGGGTAGCGCTTAGTTGGATCCAGAAACTGGCGCGCTATCAAGCACGTGAGGAAGAAAGAGTGAACTGCAAGCGTCACAACCTTAGAAAGGACAGTAATAAGGTCAATACATCGGTAAAACGGCAGTATGGTGAGTTAATCTTATTGAAAAATATTATCAGCTTAGTTTTATTATACCTGTGTGTAGACTAATGGTATTGTTATCCAGTCGTACACAAAACACAACGAACATCTATCTCTAAAATCGGCGATTGACTGAAATCAATGGATAGCAGCAAATTAGGATACATTTCAACGATTAAACAAGAGAGACATGGAATATCAGATGTTTAGTTACCTCAATGACCATTCGGAGTCCCCAGTCAGTTTTAATGTAGTCCTCTTTCCGTGCGTGTGATAAAACTGCGTTTGCCCACATGAGTGGTACCCAAAATTTGTTATATTTACAGTCTACTTTTTCATACATAATGGCTTCTTCGCTTGTTATAAAACCTGCAAATAGTAAGAAAAGTTCAAACTATCAAAGAAATAATTGTTTGGGGAGGACAAACAGTTTTATCTAAGTTTTCAAATCTTCAATCTAAATACGAGGGCTGTTCGGAAATTATTGAGATAGTTGCATTAACTCCATAAAGGACGGAGATAATTTCGCAGAAGTTCATCCACATTTTATTTAGAACAAATAAAACACTTATGCAAAATTTCTTATTCCTTTGATAATTAGATAAGTTTCGGTGAAACGATAAACATACATATGTCTATCGACCCGGAGCAGCATCGCTACGTCATTTTACCGTCACGTCAGTCGGAGATGTTTTCGCATGCAAAGTGATCGGGAAGTGTTTAATACTCTTCTTTCTTTGTTATTACATATAAAGTTACAAAAATCAAACAGTATCTTTACTTAAATTATTCTTTAAAGATGTATGCTGTTGCTACCCCAGTAAACAATTTTAATTTTTGGGAAATGATGACTTAGAATCATGCAGTGCCGAATTATGCAGTGCGGGATTAATAACGTAACAATATTAATACCGTACGTAAAAACTCATGGTCGTCCAGAGCTTTCAAATTTACTCTGGTTGAATTAATTGTGAAATAAAATTATACTAATGAAACAACAAACTATAACACATTATTTTATTCTCGATGTTATTGGTTTTGCAGGTCGTTCAGTCTGGTAAAGGGTTCTAAATTGTGCTACACAAAATTTTAGGTATACCGGCTGCTCCGCCCTAGACGTCAAAATGAATATTGTCGTTGTTTGCAGATTTCTCTACCACGCTTTATTTTATTACGATCTCTGTATTTCTGATCAAATTCTATCAAAGTTGCACAACATGAATTTGAAATAAAGCTGAAATATTATACACCTAAACTGATTTATTTTCGCTCTTATTATGGATCCACGAAGAGTTAGAACGTTGGCGTTTCATATTATCAATATCTGATTTCGTGACTGCAAGTATTAACGCATTTGTATACCATCGTAAAATTTTTAATATTTATAAAATATTTCTTGCTTTTATTAATTATTAGTGTATGTCAAACGTATATGCAAAATTTCACCGAAAGACGTTCATAAGAAAGCAAAATATACACAATGTCTCAATAATTTCCGAACAGCCCTCGTATATCTCCCATTACAGTGGTACCCACACTTAGTTCAATGCTTCTACATCGTACGAAGGTAATAAGCAAGAAAGAACGAAAATCATTTTACAACTGACGTACCGGTAAGCATACTGTGACATGCATAAAAGGGAGCATAAAACTCTCAAATGTGCATATGGGTTCAAGGGTATTTAGGCATTATTCTTATTTATTAAATATTCACTAGGTCTGAAATAAAAGAATATAATGAAGTGTAATTTTTGTTTTCAAAGGAAGGACTTCTATACACTTTAAACATAAGTAATCAAAGATTACGAAGCTCACCTCGACGAATTTTGTCTATCAGCAAGGCAAATATCTGATCAATTTTTTCTCTGGTAAACGAGTGCACGAGTGTCCCCCAAGATCAATATCCATGCAATTTTGGTTTAATTAGGATTAACAGTTTCTTGAGAATGGACCTGCTTAAACCTTAAACCTATTCACTTATCAAGAAAAATCTCTGTCAGTTCAAACATCTGGAGAAAGTTTGGAAGTATCCATTCTAAGGCTTATCATCCATGGAAGTTTAATCATAATAGGCAATAAAATTTAGAACTAGTCATAAACTTTATCCGGTTCACTCATTAGGAAAATGTTTGTCAGATTCAGAATCTAAAGCTTGTCTGAAGGTCTCCATCAGTAGATAAACCATCCACACTAATTTTGATAAAGTATGACTAAAATTTATTCTTCTTCTTTAACCTGTTCACTCATCTGGAAAATATACTCAGTTGGTCAGATCCAGCATCTGAAGCAAATCTGGTAGTGTCCATCCCTAGATGCATCATCCATGCAAGTTTGGTCCAGGTAGGTCTTATAGCAACTTGGTAATCGACCTGCTTCGAAAAGTTTATGCTGGTCACTCATCGAAAATATATCAGATCTTGCATTCGAAACAAGTCTGGTAGACACCATCTCTAGATGCATCATCCATGCAATTTTTGTCCAGATAGGGCATATAGTTAATTGGTAATAGACCTGTTCCAAGAATAATAAACGTGTCACCCATCTGGAAAATATAGGTCAGATTCAGCATCCGAAGAAAGTCAGGTAGTGGCCATCCTTTTATGGATCATCCCTGCAAGTTTGGTCCGAGTAGGGCTAAAGGTTACTTAGTAGTTGACCTGCTCCAAGAACTGTAACCTTGTCACTCATCTCTAAAATATAGGTCAGATCCAATATCTGAAGCAAGTCAGGTAGAGACCATCTCTAGATACATCATCCATGTAACGTTTGTACAAGTAGGGTATATAGTTACTTAGTAATGGACCTGCTCCAAGAACTTTAAACTTGTCACTCATCTGGAAGATATAGGTCAGATTCAGCATCCGAAGCAAGTCAGGTAGTGTCCATCCCTTGATGCATCATCCATGCAAGTTTAGTCCAAGTAGGGTTCATAATTACTTAGTTATGAACCTGCACCAAGAACTTTAACCTTGTCAATCATCTGAAAAATAGAGGTCAGATCTTGCATCCGAAGCAAGTCAGATAGTGTGTCTCCCTTGATGCATCATCCATGCAATTTTGGTCCAGATAGGGCTTATGGTTACTTGGAAATGGACCTGCTCCAAGAACTTTAAACTTGTCACTCAACTGGAAAATGTAGGTCAGATTCAGCATCCGAAGCAAGTCAGATAGCGGGTCTCCCTTGATGCATCATCCATGCAATTTTGGTCCAAATAGGGCTTATGGTTACTTGGAAATGGACCTGCTCCAAGAACTTTAAACTTGTCACTCATCTGGAAAATATAGGTCAGATTCAGCATCCGAAGCAAGTCAGGTAGTGTCCATCCCTTGATGCATCCTCCATGTTAGTTTGGTCCAAAAAGGATTTATAGTTACTTGGTAATGGACATGCTCCAAGAACTTTAAACGTGTCACTTATCTGGAAAATATAGATCAGATTTAGCATCCGAAGCAAGTCAGTTTCCATCCCTTGATGCTTCAGCCAATCAATTTTGGTTCAGATAGGGCTTATATTACTTAGTTATGAACCTGCACCAAGAACTTTAACCTTGTCAATCATCTGAAAAATAGAGGTCAGATCTTGCATCCGAAGCAAGTCAGATAGTGTCTCTCCTTTGATGCATCATCCATGTTAGTTTGGTCCAAAAAGGATTTATAGTTACTTGGTAATGGACCTGCACCAAGAACTTTAAACTTGTCACTTATCTGGAAAATATAGATCAGATTTAGCATCCGAAGCAAGTCAGATAGTGTCCATCCCTTGATGCATCATCCATGCAAGTTTGGTCCAAGTAGGGTTTATGGTTACTTGGAAATGGACCTGCTCCTAAAAAAATTAACTAGGACGCCGTCGCTAATGCTTACACCGATGCCGGGGCTATAGCATACGCTCATCTGGACCTCGTCGAGGTGAGCTAAAAAGGCGTCTTAAATTTGGAACGCAGTTGGTCCCGTAATGAAATCAAAAATTCAAAACCGTTTTGCACAACTACGGAAAGCACAAATCATATTCCAAAACATGATTTTGTGAGAAAAAAAAATTATGGACCGCCTAGGAGAATATAACAATCTTCAGAAAGTGTCAGTATAATTTTACAGCGCACATAAGCTCAAATGACAATTATATTGTCTATAAAGTTGACTTGGAAAGGATTACCTGCCTCAACAATGTGATCTAGAGTTGGGAACCTCTTCATAACGGCTACACTGATAGACCGACAGATTAAAATGAGGCCAAACATCATATAACGGGCTACAGTTCTCCGGATTATTCGGGGCTTGTCATCCTTTCCCTGGAGATAGCAGCACATCAGGTACAGGGTTCTAACCTCAGCAAAACAAATACAAAAGATATTGTTTGAACATGTGTATATGTATACATACAGTCAAGTCTCGCTTATGCGAACGCTAGTATTCCGATGCAAATATCTGGATTTGTGAGGCGTCCGAAATACTGAAACAAATTTGGTATCTTTAATTTAGTTTCCTCCGAAATGTGCAGCGTCTAGATTATCGGTGTTCGGATTATCAAGGCTCCACTGTATTTAAAGTGACCGAAGTTTGGAAATGTACTTTAAACAGAACTAATCAGAACTGAACAGAGGAAATTTAGCTTCTCCTGATTATTTTAAGTACTTAGTATGCTTATATTTTAGGTAGTAATAATGAGGTAGGTAGCTATTTAGGTATGTGTATGTGCGAAAAAGAAAGATCGTGCGTCATCTATCATTATCTTTAAGTGTTAATTACCCTTGTACACGTGTTTTAGTTACAAATTTAAGTAACTTAATTAGCATGGTTTTCTCTGTATTTGACATTTTTCTTAACAGCATTTGAAGATATTTATATATGTTTACTTAAGTAGTACTAATTAAGATGTGTACGCCAGGGCCATATCAAGAAAACCAATGAAATAATGGCCATAAGGAAGAGAGAATTCTAGAATAAGGCAAAGAAGTACATGCAGTGACGTGAATAGAAAGAACCTTTTAGGATTAAAATTAATGATTTTTGTAAAACTTGTCTTCAAGATTCTCAATTAATACTCCATTAATCAGTAATGCATGGATTGCAAATTAAACTTTCATTTTTCCTCTATGTTGATTGTGTTTCAATGTAATCTGCAAATTGATTTGAAGTTTATTTTATCTTGGCCAAATGTATAAAAGTAATTAATGAATCAACAAAAAGTTACGCAAGATGAACGCATTTTACATACTCTGACGTAGAACAAGAGATGGTATGAAGATAAAAATTCATATCCAGAATGTACTTTAAGACCTCACGTTAATAAATGTTAATGTCGGTCTGGCTCTACGTTGTCCTCTCATTATTGCATTAGCATACTAGTATCATGTAGTCGTCCTATTGACATTTTTCTCAACATGAAACTTTGTACCTTACAACTATAAATTCTAAACGTCTCGTGAACTATCCAATAGGAAATGCCTTATTTGAATATAGCTGCTTCGAGCATGCATTTAAGGCTATTTTCTAAATTAAATAAACCGCCAGGATTAGTTTGTGTACCTTTTCTTCGCTTTGCTAAGTACCTTTTCTTGCACCAAATATCTTGGTGCATTTTTTAGGTCATGCATTCTATTTTTAAATGTTTCTGGGAGGTAAACAGAGATGTAAATAATAAGTAATATTTTACCTGTCAGGCCACGGTACATTTCTGAATTGTTGCCACCACCTGCCCACCACCATTGTGACGTAGAAACCAAGAACAAAGGACACCGGGATCAGACTAGTAAAGTTGTTACAGTGACGAGCAATGCTCTCAAAGATTCTAAAAGAATAGAAACCCATTTATTTAATTCATTTATTTAATTTGTTTGGATAATGAATCAAGCTTTTCCATGGCATTAGCCAAATTTTGCTCAAAATGATAAATATACTCTGAAAGATTCTAGGGTAAAGAAAAGAAACATTTATTTATTTCTAGTCACATTATTATTTATTCTAATTTGTTTTGATAATGATTCTTTATAATTTCATTGTGAAATAAAAAGCTTTATATAGATAAATAGATTTAAATCACATTAGTCAAATTTTGCTCAAAATGATAAATATACATGTATTGATAATGAATTCATCACTAATTTACATTGATTTGTAAAAGTTATAACTTTCTAAGTTTAAAGAAAAAAAAAATAGAAATGGAAATATCATGAATTCATCACTATCTTGATTTGTAGTCTTTGTTATCTTGCCAATTAAAGAACTAAGATGTCTTTCTTTTCCTTTTCATACGTACACTCTTTGTTCCTCGTTAAGAGCTAGCCTATAAATCAGACTGATGGCCGCATACAGACTGGAGAAGATGATCATTTCTTTATACACAAGCTTGTAGACACTCCCCCTCCACATCCCCAACAGCTTCACGAAGCCTCCCAGGGTCGTGTTAGCAACCCTGTACTGGTAAGTTATTGTCATCTTTACTTGGATAATGTAAACGAACTACAGTATTTTCTTGGGCTTTAAAAAGTGTCCTCTTCTCTAAGCTGCTGTAAAAAAAACATAAAAAAAAGTTTAACATACATGTATTTAAATAAATTTAAGCATGGAAAATTTCCTGCTATACAAGGCAACATACGGCTGATTTGCTGAAGATTTGTGTAATCCTGACTTTTACTGTGGTTTTATCTCCTTGTTATACCAGACTGGATACCAGACTGCTTTGCTCTTACAATATTGTTGCCTAAGGAAAGACAAAAGAGGAACTAGTCAACTTCCAGATTACAACCATATAGAGACAGTGGAAAAATTTCAATGAATTATGAACAAGTATCAAGGAGAAACATCGTTTACTCTTCGAATGAATATGAAATACAATGTTTAGAAGAAGTTTCTTGGATTGCAGCAGAGATATTGGACAGCTGCAATGGGAAATTTGGTGAATAGGTAAAAGAGATAAAAGGGTATTTAGAAAAAGGAAGATTTGAAGATCCTGAATTTGAAAGACTTGTCATTGTTTCGGTCTTGGCAAGAAAGAAATATGGAGTAAAAATGAGGATGGGAAATTTTCATATTTTCTGGTGAAATGTTAAGGTAGGAATAAATGTGCAAATGAAAATTGATTGATTTTAATGATTTTATGACCTTTTTTAGAAATACAAATTATCATTGTTTGACTTTTCCATCAGTTATTAGGTCATTGATTTTGTACCAATCTGACTTTGAATTTCTCAGTCTTCTTGATCACAGCAAATTTGACCTGTTGACAGAGAAAGCTTACACCTCTTACTAAACGCATCTACTCAATAAGCTGGTTTTTCAGGTGTCAGGATTTTTAAAACCTGTTCACAGTTTGTATTCGTTACTGTACGTATAGGTTTGATCGTTGTTGGTTGTCTTCGCTATTTTATAATAAACAAAACAAATGTCGTACACTATGTCTGATAACTTAGTTGATGTAAAATGCAAAGGAAAGAAACACTCTAAAAATCAGAGATTTACTACACCATTAGTACTCAGATTAGAATGCAGGATAGTCAAAGAATTTAAGATGCAATTGACACAGATCCTTGCTTACGGTCAAGAAGAATGTATGTGGAGGAAAACACGATATAACAACTATGCACGTACATTAAGAGGGGAAACAAGACAATAGGGGTGACATTACCTGACAGATACACTGACTTTATGTCAGAAGGGTACATTGACCAGAAGTTTTGAAAAACTACGAAAGGAAACATCAGCGATCATATAACCAGCATGCTCTTGCTGCAAACATCTATGCTTCCAAACTACTTTGAAATCTATTATGAACAAAAATACAAAGGGCAGTCGTTTTAGTCTGCAAGAGAAGTTGGATAGATAGAACGTGTTAGAAAAGGCTTCAACAAGCGTGTTTGCAGAAAGGGAAAAATTTCACAAATCGTTCCATCTACATATATTATACAATATGTATACTCTCTTTGGTAAAATTCATAAAAATGAGATATGCGTTATCAGGAAAATAGGTTCCGTGGAGACCATGATTGGACAAATGTCCACTAAAAATGCAGAGACACATCCCAATTTGGCAACAAAACAGATGATGGAGACATGACAAGAGTAAACTAGCAGAAACTAGTAACCTGGAGAGTGATTGGAGTCATTCATTTACATATACCAATATCCAAATATAACCAGACATAAGTCACTAGATAGAAGGAGGCAAGGAGAATTTTTAAAAAGATGGATTGTATAATCAATAAATGAATTTTGTTTCTGAAATAGAACAAAAGAAATGGCCGAAAACATCTAAACAACAATAATGCAAGAATCAAATTTCTGGCAAGCTGGCAAGAATCGACGCAAAGAAACAGTAAGCCGAATCAACTTTCTAGCAAGAATCGATACAAAGAAACAATGTTAGAATCATCTTACAGGCAAGAATCGACGCAAAAAATCAATAATACAAGAATATACTTACTGGCAGGAATCAAAGCAAAGAAACAATAATAACATATTCAATTTTTGGCAAGAACCGACACAAAGAAGCAATAATGCAAGATTCACCATACTGGCAAGTATCGACACCAAGAAACAATGACGCAAGAATCAATTTTCTTGCAAAAATCGATGCAAAGAAACAATAAGACTAAAAGCAACTTACTGGAAAGAATCGACTCACAGAAACGATAATGCAAGTATCACCTTAGTGGCAAGAATCGAAGCAAAAAAACAATAATGCAAGAATCTCTTTATTGTCAAGAATAGACACAAAGAAGCAATAATGCAAGAGTCACTTACTGGCAAGAATCGACCCAAAGAAACAATAATGCAAGAATCACCTTATTGGCAAGAATCGATGTAAAGATACAATAATGCAAGAATCACCTTACTGGCAAAACTGGAAGCCAAAAAAAAAAAAACCCCATAATGCAAGAATCATCTTACTGGCAAGAATCGACGCAGAGAAACAATATTTTAATGTAAGAACCAGCTTACTGGCAAAAATGGAAGTTAAGAAACACTAATGCGAAAATCAACTTACGCAGTTAATTTGGTGGAATAAATGAATTACTGACTTTTACGTTGGAAATAGAACAACATACGTTTAATCAATTTTATATATATATAGTCAGCGAAAACAATTGCATACAACGCAACTAAAAAATTAAGGTGTGTGACTAATAAAGTATTTACATGTAAAGACTGTGTGACCTCTTTTTATGATTTATAAATATACATAGATCTATATCATATACATTTATTCTGAAATCAATAATTTTGTACGTGTTAAGCAGTGAATTTCAATAAAAAATTCCTTTTTATTAAGTAGTTGCACTTGAATACCTATTTCCTGCCCTTTTAAAAACTTCGTTACGTCTAATATAAATAATTATGCCATAGTCACAAAGCTATATGGTTTATAATAAGAGTTTTATTATTTGTATTATAAATGAGTGAAATGACATTTATTAGAACCAGACAGTGTTGAATGAATTTCATTCAAGAAATTAGGTCTTAACTTCAGTCATTAGGTCTTAACCTCAGTCATTAGTTAAAAGTGTCATTAAGGAATTAGAACCAGAAAATATGAATATATATTTCAAAAGAAAAAGATCATATTATATTACTTTTAACATAATCTCTGACCTACATATCTTCTTTAAAACATTGATTCTTTTGTTATAAATGCATTACATCACACAACTATGTCCCAAACGAATGTACAATTGATTCGGCATACCAAAAATTGATACATTTTTGTTAAAAAAATTTTGACAAGCAAAACCTGAAAATTCTGTGCAAAAACAAATATTCAACGAAATAAATTTACATAAAATGTAGATCAGTGGAATCAATAGAGACTACATATCTTACCAAGCTTGAAGCAAATAATTTTATCCCATTTATCCTTACCATTTTTCAACAAATTTTCTTTTTAAATTATCCCTAAAGAAATCCCAATCACAAACATTGTCTTTAAGAGATAAAAGAAATATGTATTATTGTTGAAAGGCGCCAAAACAAGACCTGTAATTAATGGACATATCCTGTGGAAGCTTTACTGTCTTGACCTAATTAATATTTAGGTAGTATTTAAACAGTGACAGAAAGATCTATGCTCTGGCTATAAATTTGTCGCCAATTTATCTACGCCTCACCAGAATCGCCATCATTTCTTCGACCCAGTTTCTGGCATTTCTTGACCATGTAAACAATTTTATGGCAAAAGAAATACAGGTTTCATTCTGTTGTTGTCGAGTTAAGAAAGAGGTGAGAGAACAAAAACATTAATATTCACAGGAGTTCATTAATTAAAAGCATGGTTTACAAATACATGTATTATGGTATATTACAGACAGATACCATTTTGTTCTAGCAGAGATCGGACAGGTCAACGACATGTAGTCATTCCATATTTCATTGATAACGATAAGAATTTTGAATTATGTAAAATAAAAGTTAATTTACACTGTAAACATTACTTTCTATTAGGGACCTAAAATTGTGCACGTTGCAATGGGGAAATTCCAGAAACTTTTAAAAAAAACTATTTTAAAGCATGTCACAATGCGGCAAATATCTACTTTAAAAATGATTTAAAATACAATTGAATTCCTCTTACATACCTTAATGTACTTTTTTCCTTCCTTCACCATGTATTTCGTTATTTTTGGTAAAACAAGTACTAGTACTTCGAGACAATGACCACAAGAATTGTGAAGAGCTCTACATAATGCCAAAATCAAGAAGAAGGTATTTACCTGTAAGGTAAAACTACGAATTTTGTTCTTAATAATTTCCCCTAGCACTCCTGCATGGTCGTATGAATGAAACAGGTATATAAGTATAAAATCATTCCATTTGACCTCAGAAATTGTTAACAGTTAAGAATCACGTGTTTGCAAATAAAATATTCAAAATATGCATAATGTCACTATGTTCCATTTGTCAATTTCAGATTTAAAAAAAAAAATCAACTTTCAAGCATTTTAAAATAAGAATTTAAAGTGCATATATTTATGAAAGTACAATAAAAAAAGCAACATTTTAAGGCAAAATTTACTAATCATTGTCTTTTGATACTTAAAAAATAACCATAAATACATCAGCATATTTTTCATCTCGCACAAGTTGACACGTGCAAGTTTTATTGCTGTAATTTAACGCCTCTTGCAAATTCATTACCTAGTAGCCTGAGGCCTTTTGAAGCTACACAATTTTACACCAAATATGTATTACAGATGACGCAAATGGCCTCTTCTTTGACCCTTGTCAAGTTGTCACGTCTAAAGACAACACGAGTGTAACAACAAAACGACTTCTCATAATTACTTATTCTCTTCAGACTACATTCAGATAATTTAGAGATGATCGTAACGTCTTCAATATGCTGTAGATGTAACAATTTTTATATAGTTCTATATTTTTATATACATGTATTGTAAGTATCCATACTGTTCATATTTTTGGATCTTGAATGCTTTTCGTTCTTTTTAGGGCTTTCTGATAGGAAATCACTTTCTTGAAGCACAAAGTCATTTGAACTTTCCTGTTCCATGCCAGATACCTTTTTTGTTCTCTTTGATGATATCAGGTTGTCTTTAAGGGAAAAATTTCTCAAGATACATTTTCCCTTAAAGATTCTCAAGTATGCGCATGGATTCAGGCACCTGTAAGACTTGTTCATCAGAAAGTACCATTGCTTTGTTGTTTTGTTATATTAGGAAATACTAAATGATTTCAAATGCCATCAATAACTTTTTTATTAATTTGATTTAATTGGATTCAAAAACTTCTTTAAAAATCCATACAAAGATACATAGCGAGTTCCAGTAAATGTTCTACCAAGCCTCTTTCTTTACTCTTAACTAAAATATTAACAGTAGTGAAGGAGAAACTTGAAGAGTACCGAGTAACAATATATTCAAGAAGTGGTGTAAATCAGACGTGGATAATAAAACATTCAAAGGAAGTTTATTTTTGAAAATTTGAAATCTCAAAATTTTACCAAAATCAACAGCATCAAAACTTACGACTTTTCAACTTTACATAAAACCGTTTTCCAAGTAAAAATTAAGTTCAGGCTTTTTGATATCACTGACAGTTGTTTTTTCAATGGATATTTAAATCGTAAATTTACATTCTTTGTCATTGGATATTTGCAAAATTATTTTGTTAAACAAAAATTCGATTGTACACACTTATTCTGATGTTGATATTAAAAGATGCTTGAGTTTCATATTGACAAAATATTTGTAGTTTTTGGAGACCAGGTCTTCCAACAATCTATCGGAATTCACATGGGTACCAGATATGAATGCAAAGGTGAGAGATGACAACACGATCAAAAAACTCATCATGGGAAAACATGGCATCCGTAACTTGAACGAAAATGGAAAACTTGTTACAGATTTTGCACTTTCAATGATCTAGTTATAGGAGGTACCATCTGTCCACATAAGAAGATACACAAAACAATTTGGATTTCTCCCGATGGAAAGAAATCAAATAGATCATATCACCATCATGCGAAAATGGAGAAGAAGTATGATAGATGTAAGAACAAGACAAAGAGCAGACGCATCCTCAGATCACCAACTGGTTACAGCTACGCTGAGATGAAACTCAAAGAATTCAATCACACATATTTACATTTCCATTGTCTTTGTCCGAGATAGAATTACAAATAAAGTAGTAAATGTACACTATTTCTACATAAATCTACTGGTTTATCAATAGGCGCGTTAAAAAAAATCACATACCCGTACCGGGCGGTATGAATAAAGATATATACAGAAGTGAGGCTTAGAACACGTGGATTTGCGGAATAAAGAGCATGTAAATATAAGGAATAACTATAAGAATCTTTGATTTCATGATAGCAAGGGGCATTACCCTGTTCAAAACAAAATTTGGCCTAAATATTCTGATTATGAATCTGTATAATATCAAATTTCATTTCAATAAGTTAAACATCTGCGAAGAAAATGAATGAAAACTGCAGATAACAAATAATTGGAATTTTTCTAAGTCCAAGGGACATAGCTCTGTCCAAAATGGCACAATCGTACCCAACAGAACTTGACCTAGATATTCTGATTATAAAAGGCGAAGAAAATGAACGTAAATTGATGGTGAATCGACAGACAGACAGCAGCAAAGAAATATTCCCTCCTAAAAAATCAACCAATGTCAGAAAACACAACAAATGAAGAAACTGACAGCAGAATATAGAGAAGCCAACAAACAAGTCAAAAAGAGTGCTAGGAAGGACAAGAGACAGTTCGTCTAATACAGGTGATGGGAATCAACAACAAACGAGATATCAATCCAGTAAAATGGGGAGAACATCAAAGAAACTGACAGATTCACCTATCTTGGGAGTATTGTCAACAAGGACAGCGGCGCAGATGACGACATCAATAGCTGAAATAATAAGACAGGGTATTCTTTTAATACCCCCAGGCAAATCTGGAATTCTAAAGCACTTTCTCTAAACAGTAAATTAGTGATTTTTAACACAGACGTTAAAGCAGTTCTTTTATTTAGTTTTGAGACCTGGAAGGTAAATAATACAAACAACAAACTACAGTCTTTCGTCAATAAACGTCTCCGCCATATCCTTAATATAAGATGATCTGACCCCATATCAAACTGCAGTCTATAGGAGATAACCAACCAAAATCCCATAAATATTGACATAAAGAAGAGAAAATGGGGTTGGATAGGCCACACTTTACGCAAACCCTCAAACAACATCAAAAACAGGCTCTGGATTGGAATCCACCAGGAAAGAGGAAGTTAGAGAGACCCAAGCATTCCTAGAGAAGGTCCATGGAAATGGAGGCAAAAGAGGCAGGATTTCCCTGGACCCAATTAAAAAAGCATAGCCCCAAAGCAGAGTCCGATGGCGCGGTTTGGTTGCAACCCTATGCTCCCCAAGTCAAGTATGAGAAAATACTTATAAAGAGTGATATTCCTCATGACATTACAATCATACATATGTACTTGTAGATATGGACATGAACTCTATCATTGTTTATTTATAAAGGTGTGTTCAACTTGCTACAAAACACTGAACATAAACACACTGAAACACTTTTGTATGTTGGTATTTCTTAATTATGTTCTCAATCTGAACTTTATTGAAATTTTAATAACTTATATCAAAACATGATCGCAGATTTCCTACTTTTCTGAAATGTTCAGGGATGATGCCTGTAGTTAAAGTAGTACGATAGCTAACAATCAATCACACCGGTTAATCATAGTTTCATTCATTTCAATAAAATATCAGTTTAAAATACTTTTGCAACATGTAAGTTAGTAATTCCCTAGACGGTCATCAATGTTGTAATAACTGTACATATTGCCGTGATAACTATCTACAACTCGTCATGTCCCAATAGTCCCCATCTTTATAACCCTTCAATGTATTCGTTGGGCAGGTGTAACACCAAGTTTCGCCTTTTCGGGAGTAGCATATCCCTTTACAGTTAGCCTGTGACAAACATTCTTGCTTGCACCCTTCGAATGTTTTATATCCAACAAATACTTCCGAAGTGCAGTAAGTCTTTTCGTGTTGAATGATATCTAAAAAAATGAAAAGAAGAAATATCTATGAAAAAAGAAACCAATACAAAGGGTCAGTAATAAAAAAGAGCTTCCTAACAACTTTAAATTCACTTAAATTGTTTAAGTGCAGTAAAAATGTATCACATTTTTAATTAACTTGAACTATAATGCAACACACGAAATAGAACAAAATAAATAATACAGATTTATTGGATGACTTTGGGGGCAACATGCGTTTTGTCGGACCAAGACCCAAAATGTTTGCCAGTAGACTTTTCAAGATCAAATGCAAAAATTTTGGTTTGACAAACGATTTTGCCCAAAAATATAGTTAATAAATCCACATTTAAAAAATTTTTTTTTATTAATTTTGTATTTTGAATAAAAGTTTTAAAAAGACTTGATGGAATATTTTTTCTCAGTAACATTCTCTTATATGTGGTTGTTCTCTTTCATATTGATCTCAATTACTCCAATATTTTAGGGGGGAAAGCCTACTCTACAAGACCTGACCGGTACATCTCCTATCCGCAACTCCCCCTAAACCACTGAATAAAATTTAATGATACTTTCAAAGATTCTTTATTACATAATGTCATTGTACACCTATTAGTTTACTTTTTGATCTTACACTTATTTCGGGTTTCCCAGAGGAAGACAAAGACTTTGTCAATATAATTATGTGAGAGGCAGGGGTATCAATTAGTGAGATCAGTACTCACAGTACCTCTACCGGTAGTTTTTTTCTAGCGACTAGTTTGGGTATGCGTAAAACATCAAGAAGAAATGAACACTTCTCTTTGACTGATAAGTAGATTTTTTGTTTGTAAAAGAAATAATATTGCGTATATTAAAAAATATTAAATACACTTTATTGCACTTTACTGCAGTGCAAAATCTACATTTTGTTTTTGAAAAAAAAATTTCAACAAAGTTATGCATTGATGAATTTTTTTTTTAATTGAGTGACTAGGTTAACTATGCTCGAACCATTTGCAGACATGAACACTTCTTTTTGACTGATACGAGGGGTTATCAAAAAGTTCGTGGACTGAGGCTATAAAATTAGTACTAAGTAGTCTGTGCTTTCAAAATTTATATGGAACATTAAACAACAAAAAGTAAAGAAATGTTGAAAATTTTAGCTCGATACCTTTGTTTTTTGCAAAATTATTATAAAATAAAAACGACATTATATGATCACCCGGCGCTGTCGCTGTTTAGTTTTATGACGTCCGACAACGTCATTCTTTTTCAATGTCCGCTTCTTTTACTTCATACACTTATTTTGATGAGATTCCCTGGAGCTGAGTAAGGAATTAAATCCGCCTTGTTTATATGACTTTACAAAGACATGAACAGTGGCTTTCAAAGAATATAATATTCCAAATGAATTTATACATTGAGAGAGATCCTAGCTTGATTGTGCCAGTATATTTCGCTTTTGGGAGTTCAATATCTACAACACATGCTCAATGTCATTTTTTGGCGTGATTGATTTTTCACACCTTGACTACAAATCGACATTAACTGTGCATCCCTTTTCTCTCTGAATCTATTTTGACATTAAAAGACAAGTACTCCGGATGCATATTATTTCTCCGTAGCCAGTTTAAATATTTCTTAGGTTTATACCAGTTTTTCAAGTGCCAAATTTTATAGAATGTTGGAAAAGGAAAACCCTCCCCCTTTTGGCGTCATTTCCAAGGCCTTATTTGTTTGGACGCGCCATGTAAAATTTACAATAAAATTTTATAGAACTTCCAGAATGAAGTAAAAATTTCAAATTTTATGGAACAATTGTGTCCCAACACATGCATGAATTAACGGGATTTTTGGATGTCAAATATTGATATTAAAAGAGTTTTTCTCAGTTACATATAGGTCGCAAAAACAATGTATTCGAGGTTGCGCCGCCTGGACAATCCATTGCTAACAAAAACATTACTAATTTTTAAAAAAATAAAATTTATGATTTATGGCTTATTCTTTAGATAGAAAAGATGATGCTAACTTAATATTTTAAAATTCATTTATGTACCTAGAGCGGTTTTGATTCTATATGGCACTAGTCCACGGACTTTTTGATAACCCCTCGTAAGTGAATTTCCTTTTATTAACAAGAAAATTAATATTGATTATTGTAAAAAGAATTTAACTTCTCTTTATCGGACATCACTACAGTGCAGAATGTACTTTTTTAAAAAATGTGTTTTGAAAAAAACAAAAAAAAAAAAAAAAAAAAACCCGAAAAACCGACTGAATGGATTTTTATCTATATATGAATGTTCTCTTTCATATGAATTTTAAATTAAAATTTTTAATTAATAGTCCAGTAACAATGGGCTTTTCAAAAATGTTACGTATTCTAATGATCAGTTACTGAGAAAATAATAGAATGTCGATATTTTCAAGATAATTCACATTTTCAATATAGCTTGTGCATTTGAAAAATGGAAGACAAAGGAAACAAGAAAAAAAACTCGAATTCTTTCAGAATCTCATTTTTCTAGATTAAACTAGCATTAGCAAATGGCTTATAAGTAAGAAAATCATCCATTCACTTGTAATGTATAATCTAAGCATGAAAGAGATACCTCCACAAACTGTTTTGGCGGGGTTGATGCACTTGTTCGTCCCTGTACAGTCTTTACACTGTGTTTTCCCTGACTGGTCCTGGTACTGATTAGCTGGACATGCCAGACACTGAGTCTGCCTCCAGGAATCCTGGTAAGTCCCTGGATTACACTGTGTACAGGTAGACATTCCAGTCCTATCAGCATAGTGCCCAGGAGAACAAGGTACACATTGAAAACGTCCTTCGTTCTGTTGCTTCGTCCCTGGTGAACACGCTATACACTGCGCTTGGTTTGACACGTTTTGAAATGTTCCTGGGCTACACAATTTACACGAGCTCTGTCCAGTTTCATCCTGATAAGTTCCTTTTAAACAGGACAGACAGCTACTGGTCTCTCCTTCGTTTGGCTGGTACTTCCCTTTCGGGCATGCCAGACATTGGTCCTGCTCAGCTTGTGGTTGATATGTACCTGCCTTACATATTTTACACTCAGCTTCGCCAGTCTTATCCTGATAGTATCCTGCTGTACAAGATAAACAGCTGGTCTGTTCTTGGTCTGACTGGTACATCCCTTTTGGACATTCTAGGCACTGGGCCTGTTTAGCTTGTGGCTGATAATTACCTGCAGTACACTTTTTACACTCAGTTTGGCCAGTTTGATCTTGATGGGACCCTGGCGTGCACTCCGAACAGCTGGTTTGTTCTTGGTCTGGCTGGTACGTCCCTTTTGGACAGGCCAAACACTGGGCCTGCTCAGACTGTGGCTGGTAAGTACCCGGATTACAGGTCTTGCACGTGGTTTGTCCAGTTTCATCCTGATGTTTTCCAGGAGTACAGGAAAAACAACCAGTCTTTCCTTCATCAGGTTGGTACATCCCTTTTGGACACTGTATACAATTTGCTTGTCCTGTTTTATCTTGATAAGTTCCAGGAATACATATCAGGCATTTTGATTTACCTAAATATTAAAAAAAAATGTCACTTTCTTTTGTGCATTTCTTTCGATAAATCCAACTTGAATTGGACGTTTATTTTTCTATCCCTTTTTAGAATCCAGATATTGATATTTGATATAAAAATTTAACTATTGCTAGATTTACACAAAAAATCTTACACAGAGACATGCTTATGTTTTCAAAAGGCATTATTATAACAGTAACTGAAAATAAAAAAAATATACATGCAATTTACCTGCATCAGGTTGATGTTCTCCTACATTGCAGCTGATACAAGATAAAGCCGCAGCTTTCGAATACGTTCCTGCTCCACATTGTATACACGTACTTTGTCCAATTTTATTTTGATAGGTTCCACCCGAACATGTCTTGCAAAACTGCATACCTTGATTGTTTGCGAAATGGCCTTTTGAACAAGGTTTGCAAGAGGCTTGAAAATTAAAAATAGGCGATATGTAAAAATTAAGTCATGTTTTTCATTTGCCTTACACATTAACTTTACTATCGTCAACTTCCATTACTGATGTACAGCAATATACGCTTATCATCTGCATGCATGAAATATATGTAAACGAACAGTGTTTAAGCTGAAAAATCCATTTAGCAATACAAAATTGGAGCAGAGCAAACACGGACCTCCAAAACATCAGAAGTGGGATCAGGTGCAATGGAGGAGTTGGCATCCCCTGCCGACCTGTCACACCCAACGTGTACTCCTTGTCATGATCGGGAAATTCGGTGTGTATATAATGGTCTAACAAATTGTATTAAAAACGACAGTCAGCATTTGACTCAATGATAAATTGTATTGCTGACAAGGTCTTTGTATCGACCATAGAACTTACGAAATGATGACTTTAAACGCGTCTGCTGATATTCTTGTTCTATCAATTTGTTTGTCAATAATGTATGTATCTCAGTTGATTCGATACACAAGAGCATGTGCTACGTATACGAACGATTTCTAAAACGAGGCAAACTATTGACAATCAAGTTGATAAAACAAGCACTCATTTCAAGACATCCTTTCGCGAGTTCTATAGTCGGTACAATGATTTTATTTGAAAATGCAATCTGTCAGTAAGTCTAATGCTGACTGACGTTTTTCATACTAAATGTTAGGCCATTATTTATAAACTTAACCAACTACGCATTTTTTCGTGTACCCGATCATGACAGTGAGCACATGGCGTGTGATCGGACAACAGGGGGTTCTTACTCCTTAATGGTATCTAATCCCTTCTTCGATATTTTAAGAGGGTCTTGTTTGCTCTGCTCCTGATTTGTATTGTTACATGAGATTTTGAACTTGATTATGGTTTGTTATCTCCATATTTATTACATCTGTCCTATTTGATAATTATTTTTTCCTTATTCATCTTAAAATGGTAACGAGACACATTATAATGAGACGTGGGGAATAATGCAATGTATTCAAAATTGATATTGATAATTATAAATGATGATAATAATAAACTTTTCTAACTTTGGCCTATATGATCTTGGTAATAACCAGGGCTGCATGGTATGTAGGCGGTTGACTGCCATTGATCCTGGTATGTTCCCGCGATGCAAATATCACACCACTGTTTTCCCAACCCGGCATTATATTGGCCAGGTGGGCAGGGGAGACAATTTCTGTCCTTGCCGTAGAATCCAGCAGTGCATGCTTCATTAAAGTAGTTCCACAAAAGTAAAGAACTAAGTCATTTTATAGTTCCACAAATATAGAGTACTAAATCAATTTATCCATTAAGCAACTGTCATGAATTAATTTAATTTTGTTGGAAATCAAGCAAACTCAAAATTATTAACATTTATTACTTATAGTTTATGATAACATGAGGAATAATCTCAGGAAAAAGACATCAGAAATCTAAATGTGCACATCTTCCGATCCATAAAAGGACTTTATTTTCTAATTATATGTATCCATCCTGTATTAAATACACTGAAGTTAATTCAAAGGAGTTTAGAGTAGAAAAGGGTTTACCACGAGAAATTTTAAAAAATATAATTACTCAAGCTGTAATCAATAAATTAAGAATGCATTGAGGTCTACGGGAACAAGCAAATTTTTTAAAATAATAATTAAATACTATGAATGTATTTTAAAAAAGCTGTGGTGGAAAGATGCATATAATTATCAGAAATAGAAAAACGATTTAAAAAATATTTTTTTCACCAGATAGATTTTTAAAAAAAAAAATGAATTTTATTGATTTAAAGCAAAGGAGGTAACTCTTCAAGAACAGGTCAACGTAAAAAAAATGAGGACACATTCCGCTCCTACATATTAAGACTAAAACATTACATCTCCATATACCGAGTATTAAGTCAATATATATCTGTTATGCATTCAGATTCATTGAATGTGAGGCTATTATGGATCGGATACCTTAAGAAATAAAAGACTTACCTGTAGCAATACAAGAAGGTTGAATTGTATCCTCTATGCACTTGTAAAATTCTGGACATGAGAAAGAACTGCATTTACCCAAATCAACCTGTGAATGCAGATTTTGATTTAAGGCAATTATTTAGAAATATCGTTTCGTTGTTTCTGAACAAAAATATAATCATTATTGTAAAAGATTTTGACATTGTGAAATAGCGTAACCAACCTTAGGAGCATTGGTCATGGGAATATACGTGAAACTGGACATTGGAGTTCCAACATTATAAATATCAAAATTTGCTTCACTATTCAATTCACATATAAAGTTATCTTTATCATAATTCACAGACTGACAATGGTGCGGACGTAACATACATTCCTTGATACAAGAATTTACACCAATATCACGTAATGTCTCAACCGTGTAACCCTCCACTTTGTATCCTTGGAACAAATTATGGGTGCAATTGTCACAACGTACCAAAAATATGAAAGGACAGAAAAACGATAATAAAAATATGGAACCAACTTCCATTTCTGAAAAGAAAATTATATTTTCCTCCCGTTGGTACTGGGATCAAATTGATGATTGAATATCTACACAATGCATTCAAATAATAATTATTTGTTCAAACATATCCCACATATTAGGATCTGGTGATGGTGTTGATTTTCTGCAATTAAAATACAATCACTTTTTAAATCAAATCCCATCTTCTACTTTCTAGCAATATTCATAGACTACCAGCCAGGTACTTTTGAAGATCTACTTATATCAAACAACCCTATCCATAAAGTATTGACGATGGAATGACTTTTTAGGATAGAATGGTCAATGCAAGATGAATTGTTCAAACAAGTACGTCCATTAGATTTTATTGGCAAGAAAGAACATCAATCTGTGATTGTTTGTTGAATTACAACATCTTGTTTATTTTCGGACCTTTAATAGTGTTAAAATTAGTTACATTGTAGCCTAAAAAGGTATTGTTTGCAACTAGTTCTCGGACATACTACTTAAATTATCATGTCAAACCTTTTTGCGCCAGTAGTAACAAGATTTTGCAAAAAAAGTTGTGATAGGTTTGTAGCCATATTAAATCAGAAAAGACTAATTTTAAAAAATCTGTCTAACGACAGCATCCTTATTCCATTCGCCTTGACGCTGGTTCGAAGGACGGTCAGGGCAGTGGGACTACTTTAAAGTAGTCACCATGCATATTTTCTCTGATAGATAGAAAATATGCCAGAGAGAAACCAGTATTACGATTCTTACACGTGGTTAGTCCAGATTCGTCGTCGTGAGACTGGGAACACGATATACGTACATACAGTGTTTCCCTTTTAAAATGAGAGATTTTTATGTCCCGCAGTGGAAGGTTCGGGTGTATATTGTTTTTGTCGTGTCCGTCTGTCTGTCTGTCTTTCTGATTGTCTGTTTGTCCGCAAGAGCTTCAACCTTGTCCATAACTTTTGATTTAGTGGAGCTATGACTGTCATATTTCAATTGTGTATTCCTTGTGACAAGATCTTTCTTTGGGTACCACCAAATTTGATTTTTTGACCTTGACTATGGAGTTTGACCCACTTTAACACAAAAATTCCAAACTTTTACTTTGATCATAATTTTAATCACAAATGGTGGAAACTAGGACTTTCATACTTCAGATATGTATTTTTTTTGGCAAGACCTTTCATTGGATACAAACAACCTTTTGTCCTTGATCTTTGAAATTTCTGTATTAATTAAAAAAACATCAACTTTGGCCATAACTTTTGAACAGGAAGGACTAGGGCATTCATACTTCAAATATGTAATCCTTATGAGAAAACCTTTTATTGGATACCAAGAACTTTGACCTTGACCATAAATTTTGAAGGGTTAGGACTACGGCTTTCATATTTAACATATTTAATCCTTGTGACAAGACCTTTCATTGGATACCAAATACTTTTACTCCTTGACCTTGACTTAGGAGTTTGACTTACTTTTGAAAATTTTAACCTTGGCCATAACTTTTGAACGGGTAGGGCTAGGGCTTTCATACTTCACAAATGTAATCCTTTTGACAAGACCTTTCTTAAGAAACCAACAACTTTGACCTTGGAACTTGACCTACCTTTCATAAACTTATCCTTGGTCATAACATTTGAACAGATGGTGCTAGGGCTTTCATATTTCACAACTGTATTTCTTGTGAGAAGACCCTACTCTGGGTTTCAAAGATATTTGATTTGCATTTAAGAACAGTTTAATCTTCGCTATGTTGCAGTACGGGGCCAGTGTTTCACAAAACACATCTAATGGAAATTTTGTTGAAGAGGAACATAATAGTTATGATTTATATAACAAAAGAATTACCTATAGGAGAGAACAATTTCGGAAAAATGACAGTTAAAAATCAATCTTTATTTGTTGTTTTCTACCGTATATATGTCTAAATTTTTTAAATTTGTATTTTATACCATACAACTTTACAATAAACAAAGTTGATGAAACACCATTTTGTCCTTTAAAGCGTTGATTTTTGCATGAATTTTGGCCTTGAAGTCCATCAGGGCAGGCCTGCCCCTAAATAAAATTGTGATATTTTGATGGGTTAGGATGTAAGGAATATAATATAAGGTAAGATTTTTTTAGGGGCACCCCTGCCCTGGAGTCGAAATTCACAAAAAACCTACAAAAAATAAGGAAACCAGATTTTCATAATCTGCTTTAAATTTATGCCCTTTTTCTTATAGTCTGCCTAGCTCAGTTGATATATGCGCTGACCTTTATACCTTCAATACTCTCTTTTTGAAGGTCAGGTATAACACTTATAAAGTTTTAAATTTGCCTTTTCAAAGACTATTTTAATTTTTTTTTCCTTTACATTCTTGATATTAAAAAGAAATTTCATCAAGCCTTCTATTTCAAAAGATTGATACGTCTTTCAATTTTTGCCTAGAATTTAATCAATTGATTGCTACATAAAAAAAATTTGTAATGACAATGATAAATTAATATAAATGGAGAAAATCAATAAAAATTTTTTCCAATGAAATAAAGATTTAGGAAAAACAAATTAAATGAATGGTTGATAAATTTATAATGAAGAATCGTTTTATTATTCTTATCCTTTACATTAAAAAGAAATTTCATCAAGCCTTCTATTTCAAAAGATTGAACGTCTTTCTTTTTGCCTAAAAAGGATGAAAAAAAAATTTGTTGCAATGAATTAATATATATATACAATGCCTATAGTATATATGTATATATATGCATATCAAAAAATTCCGATCCTGAAATTTTAACTTTTTTCAATCTTGCCCGATTAATAATTCAAGAAACATCTGAAGGTATCAAAAAAGTAGTTGAACTAATGTTTGTATAGGTGCGAGTAAAAAATCATTTTCTTTAAAACATTTTCATTAAAACGAACAAATTCCAATCAAATGCAAATCTTTAAGTAATTAAACAGAACCGTGTATATTTAACAGGTTTGTATCTTTTATCCTAGAAAACGGGAACAAAGCTTAATTAAATTTTATTGATATTTCAAATTCTTTTTCTTTGTATGGGAAATTAATTATCTGATGTAATCTGCAAAATAATTTAAAAACGTGCATAATATGCCAACTTAACATTCACAATTTAAATAATGGAAAACTGAGAATTTTTTTCCTGCACGTCCAAAATGTACACGGTATACGCATTAAAGAATTGTGCTTTCAGTGTCTCAGTGGAGGGATGTCAATAAATATTTATGGCAAATTGTGTCAATTATAAATGCCCTAATATAGACTGTCATTCCCCCGCCCATTTACCGGTATTTTAAGGTCCAGGGGTAAAAAAAGATCATAGCATGCTCGAAAACATTATGTTTTAGAAGGGTTTTGTCACGGGTAATATACATGTACATGGGCAACATGCATCTTTCTCTTTTAAAAGGTGCGACCAATTTAAAGGAATGTTTATTAAAGATTTTGAAATCAATTTCACCCCCAAAACAAAATTTATTTCTACATAACAATGGGACAATTTGACTATACCTCAACAAAAGGTGTGGGGACAAATGATTATTCCACTTTGGGAAAAAACCCTCTATATCAATCTTGTTATGTAGGCTAAAGTCTGTTTAATACTCGATCAGTCCTGTGTGAATTAAAATATTAGCAGAGTTCCATCAGCTTTCTGTGTACTCAGGATATTTGTTTCCTTTTTCCTGGTCAGTATGTCCGAGTCTTGTAACAGTACCTGTGTGTAACAGTATGTACATTGTTATT